TATATCTGTCTTAAACAGTTTAATTACGTAGGAGCACGAGAAACAAAGTTCCAGCCACTTTGATGTGCCTTTAATTTTTCTAAAAGTGTGACAAGATCTCAGAGGTATTCTGGTGAAAAGAAAGAAGTTTGACTGTGGTTGGAAACTGGCACCTGACTTCAACTGGACCAAGCTGGCTGAGGATAATGGGAATTGTATTCCAACAAATCTGCTGGCTACCATATGGGGGAAGGCAATCTGAGTGTGTTGTGCTTCCTGGAAGGAACGAGGAAGTAGTTAAGGGTACCAGTATCTTCCTCTCGCAAGCAAAAAGACAAGTTGCACAGAGTGAAAAGAGCTTTGTAAATCCTTTCCCATCTCAGATAAAAATAACACAGATTTACAAAGCATTCTTGATTTACACTACAGAATCTCTACTGAATGCAGAAAAAAATCTTTCCCCCTTTCTTCTGCTACAAAATTATCAGGCACAAGCACCTCCAATTACAAATGGGAATCCAGCATCTTCTGAATTTCTGCCAGCGGTACATTTCTGTAAGGCAGAACATTTTCCCAGAATCAGATGGTAAGCCTGCCTCTTGAACATGTTGTGAAGACAAAATAATGAGAGTGTCACTGAGCATGTGCAAATCTCCCTTGATTATTATGTGCAAAGTGAACCTGTCACCATACCAGAGTTCTACCCATTGGGGAAAAACACATAGGTTGTTCTGATGTTTTTCCTCTGTGTGTGGTTCTGCAAATTAAGGGTTGTCAGTCTATTTGTTTACAGAGGCCAAAATGATGAGAATAGACTTTGATACAGAATTGGTACAGAGTTTGTAATCAAATAATTTAATTGATGACAAAAACAGCAGCAGTTGAAATGTTTTAGTATTCATCTTGAAACAGTTTGTGCCCAAGCCTCAAAGTAAGTATTAAGTAGAACTCCTTATTTCAAAGAATATTTCTTTTCATGAATACTTCTGGATTAGTGGTTTTGGGATTGCAGTGCAACAACTTGGGAGAACTCCTCCCCCAAAGGTGGCCTAGATGTATTTTAAATAAATATACAACTTCTGCATTATTTCTGTGTAAGTAAATTCCATTACTTTCAATATGCCTTACTGCCAGGTAAGCATTTCTGGAAATGAAATCTTAAAAGCACAGGAGATGGTAAAGAATTGAAAAGGGTTGGCAAGTGGTAAGTTTGTTGGTAAGTGAGATGGACAGAGCAAGGGTCTCCCATTTCATCCTCTTATAGTCTAACACAGCTTTTTCCAGCCTGGAGCCCCCTACATAGGTTAGACTACAACTCCTAGCTTCCTTCAAAATATGTTGGACCACAACTCCCATGACCGACTGGGGCGTGCTGAGACTTGTAGTCTCACACTTCTGCAAAGCAAGAGCTTGGGAGAGAAGTCTGCCCTAACCACTATGCCACGCTTTCTTGAATGGCATGAGCTCGTTACATCCCCTCTGCCGGAGTGTGCTAAGTGCTAGCTAGTCATGCTCTGAAGCGTGGCAATGCAAGTGTGAAGATCAAGTCGCGCCGCGATATGAGCGATTCGTCGCCTCCTCGCGGGTAGCCCTTTAAGAACAAAGGCATCCCGCGCCGCCATGTTGAAGATTCCTGCGCAGGCGCAGTTTGCCTCCTGCTGCTTCCTTTGGCCCGCCTACCTCGTGTGTCCTTTGCTTGAGTCACAGAGTCCCCGTGCAGCGTGATCGGGGCTGGAATTATGGGGCTCGGGTCTAATAGTTCTGTGAGGGGTAAGGACATGCAGGTGGGGGATTTGCAGCATCGCTGCAGTCGGGTAATATGTAGAAATTCTTAGTTCCTAACACTGCTTTTCTTTTTCTTGGTCGGATTTGCTAACTAGGTACTTGTTGCCTTAAAAGCGGGCCTGTGTGCTGGGGGGGGGGCGTGCTTTTTGTTTCTTAAGCTGCACATCATAGTCGTGAAGGAGGAAGGGAAGAAAAGGTCAGGAGATCTTGTCATTTTCTCCCGCGTTCATTTGGTATTGTGGGGGTACAGCTTCAAGGCGCAGCCTGGCGGTAATTGGAGGGAGTTGGGTTTGTCCTTTGTTATTTTACTTTTGCAAAAACCAAGCTTCCTTTGCGTCGTCTAAGCTTTTCCTGAGTTTTGCTATGACCTTCAGGAATCATTCCTCCCCACCCCTTTCTCCTTGATGCCCATCATACTGTAACAATCCCGGTGCAACCAACGTTTTGTCCTCCCGCTGTTTTGAACTACAACTCCCATACTCCCTGACTGTTGATCATGCATGGCTGGAAGTTTATGGGATATGTAGTCTGCAAATCTGGAAGAGTTACCTGCTCTAACCTTACAGATCACCGGCTTGCAGCTGTCACAACGTTCCCAGTCTGTTGAGCAAACACGTTCCTAACGTCGCACCTGTTTGCTTTGGAGGAGCCCTCGGGCGTGGTTTTTATTTTGGCGTACATTCGTCTCGGAGACTTGCTTCAGTGTTGAGAACAACTAAGTAGAAAAAGTTAGACATCCGATTTGGAATTGCACGTCACGTTTTTGCTGGGAATCCCCTTAAAATGCAGAATTTATTTAGTTTTAAGATAAGCGAGCCATCGCAGAGTCGGTAGGACATGCGTCAGTCCGAATGGAGAGGAAACAAGACAAGCTACCAAAAGCTATCTACTTACCCAGTATAAATGAAATGCACTGCAAAACTTAGTGCTAACTAGGGTTGTCGTGTGCGGTTGAATCTGCTGCTTAAAGCTGGATCATGAGAGGCGTTCAGTTTCAGAAAGCTACATGCATTAAGCTTTCTAAATAGTGGGATACTTATGGAATTTCGCTCGATTCTTCCCAGTCCTGTCCTGTGTGGGCAGAGCCATAGTAGGTGGGTGCGTGCAAACCCAACTTTGCACCAATGCACAGCAGTTATGCTTTCCATTTTGACTTTAGAGGAGGCATAGGGACCTAATACAAATTTTAAGAGCATCCTACCCCCATAATAAGGGTTCCCTACTTTTACTTTAGAGTAAAAATTATATATAATATGCTTCTCTATAGATAGGTGTGTGCATGACTTCAATTCTAGCTGTTGGGTATTAAAAATTGGCAGGACTAAAGAGGATCACTACATAAAATATGGACACTACATAATGGACAGTTCGAGACGGTCCAAATGTTTGATTCAGGGCCTTTTCGGTTCCCTTCATTTCACTTTGCCCACTCTGCCTCCTACGCACTGTGTTCAGAATGATCAATTGCTCCTTACGAATTCCCAACCTTTCAACATATCCTTTTGGTAGATTGTCAGTGGATAGTGGCTTTTGTGGTTGGAAAACAGAAGGGTGTTGGGGAAAATAAAATGTACTGCTTTTTAAAAAACCTTTAAGAAACTGGAAATTTAATGGAGTAGGTCTAGACTTGGTCATATGCAGAGTAGGTCAATTGAAAACTGATAGGTGTTAAGTTAGTCATTACTTAACATGACTAAATCTAGACCGAACCCATTGGGTATAGTAAGATTAGTAATGCACTAAGGATGCAATCCAAAGTCCTCCCTCACACCCTGCATTTCATCTGGATAGCTGGGCACATAGATGAAGTGTCATGAAGATGAAAGCAGCATGCAAATTGGGCCCAGGTTGGTTCCTTCCATATCCACCAGCATTCCTCCTGTCCATGGCAATTTGTAACCTCAGAGAGGCCTGTACTGTTCTTTCTGCATCAGTTGTGCAGGGCTCAGCCTTTGGCCCTCCATTGCCAAGGTCACAGGAGGCCATAGGACTGCACTCTAAATTGTGCTGTAAGACGGTATGAATACCCTTAATGTCTCATTAGGTACAAAAATGCCCAGTATTAAAGAGGGGACTACATTTCATGATTTGCGGGTGTTTATTTAGCTTTTGTTAAGGAGGAAAATTGGGGAGATTACATGCAATAGGAAGTGTCAACACTGTAGTAAAGAAATAGAATATTTTTCTCTGGGATTGCAAGAGGAGTTCCCTTTTTTCCTTTTAGGAGAACAAGCTCACTAAACAAATCAATTTAATTTAATTAAAAGGATGCAGTATAGTTCAGTGTTCATTAGATTTCATAATTCTTTTGCAAAATGAATGTTACAAGCATCACAGTTGAACTTATATCCCAGTACAGAAAATATTCCAGAAAAGGTTATTAAAATTCTTGAATTTATTTCTGTAATAAAAATGTTTGTGAAAGATTCATAGTTCTTTATTTTGAATATCTGATTTTTCTTCAGCAAAATGGTGATTTAAATAGATTGAAGCAAGCTTCTCAACTTTAACATGTTAATTTGTACCTTGATCTTTGTGCATTGATTAGTTTTCACCTGGTGCAGAGCATGGCGAAATCTGAGGCAACCAAGAAGCAAGAACTAGATCCTACATAATGGCCTTGCCACCCTATTGCATGGATATTATGTTAGGTAGACATGCAGGTCACCAGATACCTCAAGATATCCTGTTTTCTGAAACATTTGAAAGTATTTGCCTAGTACCACATTATGTGAGAGTTGCTTGTTGAGTATCAACTCCAAGGTAGTAGCAAATAATACAGTTGCTAATATTGATATCACACACAGATCTTGTAATTCTGCAGCAATATAACTGGATCTAACATTATTTTAAAAGCATGACTTTAAAAATCTGATTTTCAGGGGGAAGCATTTTTCTCTTTGGTCCCAAGAGAAAACATCTCCTTTCACTTTCCTTTTTCAAATCAATCTATTTCGGGCCTTGGTTTTCAGAGCCTCTGCATCTCTCCAATCAGGGATGGGTAATTTCATACAGTCCTGTGGACCATAATTAATTTGGTGAAGCTTCATTGACAGGCAGCATTGAAGGCAAAGGGGGATGAACTGCAAAATACCAGCATAGTGTAGTTTAAACTTCTTGCAGCCTGCAAGTCTTAGAAGTAACATTTCAACCTTTTAAAATGGGAGGGGGAGTCCTAAAAGCTGAGAAATCACCAAACAATTGGTGGTTTCATTTGGGGGAAAGAGGATGGGCCAGGGGAGGGGGTATGGACTTCATGGGGAACCCTGGGTGGGCCAATTCCCCACCTTGTACTAGAACATCTAAAACTGATCCAGATTTACCAAGCAATACAGCTAAATGTTGGCTCCAATCTCTCAAGATTTCTGAGGCAAGTATCTCTGGGGACCATGAGATCACAGGTGTGTTATAACTCCCTTCTTTGCTTTTCCTCAAGGAGGTGTTTGTGCTTGCTTCCTTTTCTACCTGGTACATCATGTATATTTCTCTTGCTTCCTCTCATCAATTTCTTTTTCTTTCTTTATTCTTGTGTATTCTTTCCATGGGAAGCTCTCTTCATTCTCACTTGATTATTATTATTTTGTATTTATATTCTGCCTTTTGTCTCTTGCACAGAACCCAGGGCAACTTAGGTAAAGCTCCTCCACTCCATCTTATTTGCACAACAGCCCTGTGAAGTAGCTTAGACTGAGAGTAACCAATCCAAAGTCACCCAGTGAGATTCATAGCAAAGGGTGGACTATGATCTGGATCTTCCTGGTCCCTAGTCCAACACTCTAATCATCACATAATGCAGGTTTTAATTAGTGTGAAATAGTATGAAGCTGAGTTGTTATGTGGCATCAAATTGTCTCCAACTTATAGGCACCCTATGAATGAAAGCTCTCCAAAATGACCTATCCATAACAGTCCTGTTTACAGTATTCTGAGCTTTCCATAGAAGTAATCAAATTTCATTTATATTTTGTTGTTTCCTGGTTAGCCCTTGTTGAAAACTTTCTTTCCTGAGACTGTGTATTTAGAGCTGTGCATACTCTGAAATAAAACCTTATACCCAAGTTCAAATGGGAGCATAGCATACTGCCTTTCTGAAAAACCTCTTCAAAATCACCAAGGAGTGAACTAGATTTAGGATCACAGAACTCGTTTCCAGGCAGGGAGAGAGAGGGAATAAAAATAGTGTTGCTGTTTTAGGGGATGACAGAAGCCCCATCTGCAGTATGTTGTGTCCTTAAGAGGGTTAGTCAAGAGGTTGAGTGTTTCTCTTCATAGATGAAACCTCCATTATGATTTTTCTCTCTTTCTCTGCTACTTTTAATGTTAAGCCCGAGGAGAGTTCTTTGACAAAACTCAAGGACAAGCGCACTGCTCTATGATTTTTATTTTACAAATTTCCTTAAAACAATATTAAAGAAGTTTTCTATCAGCTCTTTGTAGTCTGTGAAGGCAAACATTCTTTAAAAAAAATCCTTTCCTTATGAAGTTGTCTGCCATAAAAAACTTTTTTCTTTCCATCTGCCTCAAGGAACTGCGATCTTCCATGCACTTCTAGGATGGATATTTGATTTGTACAGGCCAGCTCTTACTTTACTCTGTAATGTTTAATAGAACTCATGGCTTAATTGAATATCTTGTGATTCAATCACGTTGTTAGACAACGTGACTCCTATGTATCTGTGTGCAGAATTTGCAGCTGCAAGGGTTATATTCCAAACATAGGCTCGTTCGACTTATTGGAGTTAATATTCAGTAAGCATGTTTCAGTATAGTTAATCAGGAGACGGTGAAGCAGCGGTGGGTGCGGGCCCAGTCGCTCCTGGCCTGGCCGCCCCCAGGCTCGCATAATTAAAAATAGATTTAAAAAGTTGTATTTTTGATACCTTCAGTCCTTTCTTTGTCTTCGTCTCTCTCTCTCTTCCGCCCGCCTCTCTTCTGTTTCCTGCTCTGTATTCCCGCTTTGTATATGCGTGCAATGGGGGAGGGGAGAGAGCTGGGGCATGTGCAGTTGAGCTGTTGCAATTTGGGCACGCGCTGGCTCTCTCTCTGCTCAGTTTTAGAGTACCTGCACCAGCTCAGAGCCTTTGGACTTGCTCAGAGATCGTTTTCTCTGAGTGAGTCCAAAACCTCTGAGGCGGGCTGGATAAATGGGCATAGCGGGCCGAATCTGGCTCACGGGCCGTAGTTTGAGGACCCATGCCTTAGCTCCTTTGCTCTGTCCACTGATGGTTGGCTGCAACTTATGCATGATTTCCTCCTAGGACTTAGTTCCCAGCAGTAAAAGCTATAAGGTACAATATGTTGATGTTTGGTTCTGCCCTGTTTTGCCTTTGGACCTGCTTGCCACTGGAATGCCACCCTGATTGCTACTCCAAAATTTAATTTGGCCTTTGCATGAAAGAGCAGAACTTCTGACTAGATAGGCACAGGATTGTAGTTTAAAGCTGCAGTCTTACACATACTTCAGGAGTGGGCTTGTTTATTCGGAGGCACTCTGCTGAATATAACATGTGTGAAGAGATGGATTCCTTTCAGTTTATGTTTACTTTCAGTGCAGGAAGAAATTGAAAAGCTTACTGAACTGCGAACAGAAGGGTCATGAACTGCATATGAGGAGCAAATGAAAATTTATCATAAGTGGGAAACATTTTAAATAGTAGTTCTTGCTTCTTGACTGTTTGCGCAAAAGTAATTAAAAGACACTTTTGACAGTTTCTCCATTTTCTCTTTCAGTTGAATGGATTGCAGCAGTCACTTTCGCTGCAGGAGCGGCAGCCATTGGGTATCTTGCATACAAAAAATTTATCAGCAAGGACAAATGCTGTAAAGGGATGGTGAACCTCCATATTCAGAAAGATAATCCAAAAGTAGTCCATGCATTTGATATGGAAGATTTGGGGGAAAAAGCCGTGTACTGCCGGTGTTGGAGGTCTAAGAAGGTAAGAAAAGGAAATGGTGACCCCTTGTAATGGATGGGTTTGTGTGCAGAACTCATAATCAAAATTTTTAAGCTGGCACAGGATGAAGGCTCAAAAGAAATAGTTGATATGAGGTGAATGCTTTTTAATCAATTCTGGAAATAATTATCTCAGCAGTTTTCCATGTAAGGAAGTTGTTGCATTTATTCTTCATTTACATAAGCAGAAAAATAAATGAGCACATTTTAGTATGTGCTCTTTCTTTGCTGGTCATTCTGTTGGACTCCAATCTCTGGCCTGAAAGATAGAGTAAATATTAATCATCTTTAACTATATGGCATTCAATCATGGTTCCTAGCCATCTATTAAAGCTGAAACAGGCAATCACGTTTTTTTAATCTGCTAGGGAATGGGAGGCACATTCTGCAGGGCACCACCATGGAAAAGGTGCTCTTTCTGGTAACCACCTGCCTAACTCCAAAGTGAGAGATCAATTAAGGGTAGGAAAATGAGTTTCCAAGTCCAAAACTAGGTTCACACGACATTACAAGTGACCCTGCATGGTTACTGCAGTTGCAGTTTTTACCTTGATGTGCCTGACAGAACATCAGGTTTATGGTGGTTAATTCACCTCCCTCTCACCATCTCCTTCCCTATCAGTCCTCCAGGCTGTATCGCAGCAGGTAGCCCAAGGAGGAATGAAGTGCCTCTCCTTGATAGCCATGATCGGGAGCTGAGCTTCAGTTTGTGGCCCAGTGGGGACCCCCAGAGCAGGAGGAGGGTGCCTGATTCACCCTCAGGCAGAAGTGGGGGTGGGGGAAGCAGCTGTGTGGCACAGCAGAAAGCAGCAGTGCATCTCAGATGATTTAGCTGCGGCCACTACATGCATGCCTGAGTGGCTGGGTGCCAGTGCCCAATTGGGTTGGTGCTGCTTGGATGAGCTCCCCACACCCTGCTTTCAAGAGAGCCATTTCCAAACTGGCACCCACTTGAGCGCCTTTCTCATAAGCAACAGCGCCTCCCCCCCCCCCACCACATCCTGGCTGCTGCTTATAAAAGAGGTGTCCCCTACCTGGTGCCCACCTGAGTGATGTTTCCAGAAGCAGCGAGGAGGAGGTGCTGCCCCAGTGAGGCACCGCTGCCTGGCTGACCCGCATCCCTCCTGTGCATGTGAGCGAGGGTCTTCTCTCAGGCACACATGGGGGCAGCTGAGGCATCAGCTGAGTGGCACTGCTTCTTCCCACAGTGCTGCACAGCTGATCACCTGCTCCTGCCCCAAAGACGATCTTTAGAGCAAGAGGCTGGCAGAGCAGGGATACCCCCGAGAGCCTCGCAAAGCAGCTCTCAGTGGTGCTCTCTGACTAGTTCCTGGCAAGAACAGCAGTAGCCCCTTTTGCCAAGCGACTTCCTAAATCTGGCTTTCATACCACAAGATTTTGTGTGTTCTGGGTTTGGATGACATACCAAGCCATTGCAGTACCAAGAAACCATAGACTAGAGCATGGTTTCTCTTTGTGGTTTCTGTGGAATAAATGTACTGTGCTGCAATACCACAAGCGTTCAGATGACAGACCAAAAATGGTAAAAGACACTGTGGCTTGTCATGTCATGCACATCTGTCCCCCCACATCAACATCTTGATACTGTCCCTGGGACTAATCTATTTTCAGAAAGTTTATGGTTGGCAGAGCTTCCTTTCTGTATTGAAAACACTGGACTTGTGATGCTTAATTATGTCGTAATTGCTTTTCTATTAAAGAAGATGCAAGGTGACTTAGAACAAAATTATTAAAGCATACAAAAAAGCCAAAACCAATCTTCATTAAAATATTAAAACATCATGAAACCAAGAAAGTACCAGTATAGATCACATATTGATGAACTCATAGATTCTTACACGGGGAGGACAACCTGAAGAACTAGGGTCATATAGAGCCCTCAAAAGCTCTTTGCAGGCAATCAGTTTAGACCTCTGGAAGGTGTGATCTCTTTTCCAGCAGCCTTTGGGGTAGGGGCAGGAATGAAGGTGGAGAGAGAGAGAAGTCAGAAAAAGGGCAGCTCTGCCCCTGTATATTGCAGTCTTGCAGTTCCTGATAAATTTCTTCCAAACAGTACAGCCCTAACATCAAAGTTGCCTGTATTAGATAGATGGTCTGAACAGTTTTCTTTCACATTTGTAGATTTATGTGGATCCCTATAAAATGTTCTTTGCCTTGTTTTGCTAAAGAAAAGGTGCATTTAAGCCTGTTTATTTTTCTCCTTTAGTTCCCACTATGTGATGGATCTCACACAAAACATAATGATGAAACGGGAGACAATGTAGGACCTCTGATCATCAAGAGAAGAGATGCATAAAAACTAGATGGTTTGGACACCAGGAGAATGACCATGTCACAGTGCTTTCTGCTCACATGCAATTGGTGTAAAAGAAGGGTTTTGAGTCATTTCTCTGAAGATTTTTAGATGTGGCATACAGTATGCTGTAGCACATGTAATTCATGTTTGCCTTGCCTAAAACACTACAGTGTGTATATTAGGAATGAGTACTTGTGACTTGCTGATATTTCTGTCTTGTAAAGTGTACGTTCTCATTAAGTGTTAAAAAGAGAAAACCCTTTAGGATGACTGCTGACCTATGTACTAGAAATGATACATTAAATTATTTTCAGATAACACTGCTTATCATAAATGATCCTGACAATGAAAACCACTGTTCTGCACTGTGAGAATAAAATTATTATTTTAGTTGATTTTGAACATAAAATAAGTTTTCTACCCAGTTCAAACATGTGTGAGAATAGGGTTGCAACATGTAGTTCAATTTTGAAATAAATGAATAGATAAACGCTGTCTTGATTATATTAGGATTTTTAAAAACGTGGTTAACTTGAAGAACTTTATAAATACTGCATGTGACAAGTGCCATCTTTAAGAGCTATTCCTTCCATGTGAGATAGAATGGGGAGCGCCTGATGCCTGTTGCAACAGCTACATGTAATTAAAAATACTTAGCTGGATCCAGACTTAGCTACACTTCAGTAGCCGCATTGAAGTCTTTGAAACAGCATGCTTGTTCTTAAATGCAAATTTTTGTAGATTTAGTCCCCCAAAGCTCATGAATGCTAAATATTTCTTGAAATCATTTGACACCCTAGCTGGGAACAATGAGTGACATTTCTTAGTCATTTAGAAATGAGGGACTTGGTTAATTCTGTGTTCTTTGTAATAGATCTCTCACATGTTCATATAGTCTGTTTTTTGTTAAAGGCTAATACAGAATAATACTATATTTGGACAAACACAAACATTTCTATTACACAGAGTGGGCATGATGCAAAAAGCTGCTTTGAGAGCACTCAAAGTCTTAGATGTGTTGTGGATTTTTTTTCTTTTCATTGATGCATGGGAGGGCCGCTGTGAATGCAGATTATTTATGAAACTCTTCAGTTTCCTTAGAGGTTTGTCATGAGGGGTGGGGGGTGCATGTTGTCTGAAGAACAGTTCACTTTTGCTTTGACATGCAAAATCATTCTTTTTTTCTCTGATAGCTGCATAACTTGGGGAAATCCTGAAATGTGAGTTTCACCATTGTAGCCAGCTAAGTAGACAGAATTTGTATGCTGAATCGTACACACAGTGTATATTTATTTCATTTTATACCACCCAATAGCTGAGGCTTTCTGGGCAGTTAACAAAGTTGCAATGCCAAGTTATTACAAATTTTTGAATACATTTAGCATACATTTTTTGGCCCAGCCAAAGAATTGAATAAGTGAAATCAAGGGAAGGCCCTTTTGAGGGCAGAAAGGTGGCTCATAGTCAAGAAAGGAAGCCATTATTAGCCAATATGGTCACAAATTTGTATAACTCGTTGGAAATTAATAAATGGAATTGGACAAGTCAAACTAAAATATTTTATCATAAATACTGCTAATGGGAAAAAGGTAAATGATATGAACAGTCTGGACCCTAGCCTCCAGTTTCTTTCAACATAACCAACAAAGTTTGCTCTGACTTTGTTAGAAGTAGGTTCATAGTTTGGTCTGAATATGGTAAAAATATCCATAATCCAATGTTATTCTTTCATCTTGATAACCCATAGGAAATTACTAGTACTGCAGCCATGTTTCCACTTAGTCTGATTCATCACTCATGCAACAGAACGCTAGCAGTTCAGAAACAAACCTTGGAATCAAGTGGAAGTACTAAATTTCACACTGGCAACAGGCAGGAAGGTTCTTTTTACAAGCTTTGCTTATGCACCTTGTTCCAGAAACAAGTGTTTTTCTTAGTTTGGGTTGCTTTTTGAACCGCTCTGCTAATGGGTCCTGCTCATGTATGGACTTAGATATATGTGTATCATGATGGAGCACTGACAATACTTTCAAACCTTTTCCTGAACCAAGTGTATGTAAGGTAACAACAGGGAATAAAACTTGTGGTCTGTACAATATAAACTCATTCTGTTTCTCATTGTGGTAGGGAGTACAAGTATCAAGACTTCTGGGGCCTTGGAGAATACTTGGGTGTTACATCATTCAAATTAGAATCCTATTCTTTAGATTTTGATACAACATCTGCTCATATATACAGCAATTCGTTGTGCCATGATCTTATCTACCAATGTGCATTTCTTTTCTGTACAGAAATATTCAGCTACTTTATTATTTCAGGAACTAAATATACACAAATGAATGCCAGCCAAATGTAAACCTGTAACCTGTATGAGGAAGTAATTCTATCCATTCTTATAGAAACAGAATATTATATTTGGAAGGGGCCAGACGGTCATTGGGTCCAAGCCCTTGCTCAGTGCAGGGCTCCAAGTTGAACCATCCCTCTCAGGTGGCTGTCCAGTTGCATCTTGAAGGCCTCTAGTGTGGGAGAACCCACAGTCTCCTGAAGTAATTGGTTCCATTGTTGTACTGCTCTAACAGTCATGAAGATTTTTCTGATATCTAGCCAGAATTGGTATTCTGTAATTTGAACCCATTATTCCGTGTCCTGCACTCTGGGGTGATCGAGAACAGATCCTGTCCTTCCGCTTTGTGATGGTCTTTCAAGTACTTTCAAGTACAGTGAGATATTTCCCCGCAGTCTTCTCCCAGTTCTTTCAATCTCCTCAGGGCCTTATTTCTAGTCCCTGGATCATCCTTGGTGCCCTCCTCTGAACCATTTCCAGCTTGTCTGCATCTTTCTTAAACCGTGGTGCAACAAACTGGACACAGTACTCCAGATAAGATTTGACTAATGCTGAGTGAAGGGGAACTAGTATGTCACATGATTTGGAAGTGATTCTTCTATCAATGCAATCTAAAATAGAATTTGCCCTTTTTGTACATACACTGCAATAGTTGGCTTAAATTTAGCTTGAGATCTACAATTCCAAGATCCTTCTTTGCGGTATTGTTGAACCAATTATCCCTCATCTTGTAGCAATGCATTAGGTTTATTTTTCCTAGGTGCAAGTCTTGGAATTTTTCTCAACTGAAATGCATTCTGCAGTTTTCAGCCCAGCCTTCTAACCAATCAAGATCACACTGGATCTTCTTTCTGTCTTCCAGAATATTAACTATCCCACCCAGTTTTCTGTCATCTGCAGATCTGATAATTGTTCTCTGCACTTCCTTTTCCAAATCATTAATAAAAATATTGAAGAGCACTGGGCTCATGATAGAACCCTGTGGCACCCCACTTGTTACCTCAGCCCAGTTGAACCCTGTGGCCCTTGATGAGCACTCTTTAAGTTTGATTTTGTAACCAACTGTGGATTCTCATAATAGTTATTCTATCTAGACCACTTTTTGCTAGTTTGCTAATCAGGATGTCATGAAGCATGGTGTCAAAAGCTTTGCTAAAGTCAAGATAGATAGTGGTTCTGAGAGTTCTTCAGCCAGCTCCTTTATGACTCTAGGATGGAGTTCATCAGGCCATGGAGATATGAACTCATTCAACCCAATTAGATCATCCTTGACAATTTGCCTATCAATCTTGAGCTGCCTTCCTGTTCCTTCAGCTTGTACTTCTTCTTCATCAGGAAGGTCATAGATCTTTAGGAAGAGGACTGAGTCAAAGTAGGAATTGAGCACTTTTGCCTTTTCTTTGTCATCTATCCTTTTTGCCATGCACATTGAGTAGCTGAACCCCTATGCTTTCCTCTCTCTTTTACTTTGAAAATATCTGAAGAAGGCTTTCTTGTTGCTTTGAGCACCCCTCACTGGCATCAGTCCATTCCTAGCTTTAACCTTCCAGATGCCTTCCCTGCAATTTCATGCTACCTGTCTCTAATTCCTCATTTGTAGCTTGGCCTTCCTTCCATTTCTGATATGTGTCATTTCCCCCCAGTTCATCTCTAAGTTTTTTGTGAAGCCACATGGGGATCTTCTATCGTTTTCTACTTCTTTTTCTTGTTGTAATGGTTTGTAACTGTGCCTTTAAAATTTCCTTTTAAAAAATTCCCACCCCTCTTGGACTCCTTTTCTCATTACAGTCAATTTTCATGGACTTATCGCTGTTTTGAGTTTATTAAAATTGACTTTCTTCAAATCCAAGGTACACGTTTGGCTACATTTCACTTTTGCTTCCTTTAGAATCAATTTCAAGTATGGCATGGTCACGAACTCGCAGAGTTCTTGTAGCTGCCACTTTGTCCACTAGGTCTTCACTTTTAGTATTGAGTCAAGGATAGGTGTTCCTCTCATTCCTTCCTCCACTTTCTGTAGGAAGTCATCGGCAATGCATGCTAGGAATCTCTTGGAGATGCCTGTTTGGCAGATTTTGTCTCTCAACAGATATTGGGGAAACTGAAGTCCCCCATGATGACAGCATCATGCCACCTTGAAAGACTGGCAATTTGCTTTTCAAAAGTTTCATCCTCATCTTCTCCTTGACTAAGTGGTTGGTAATAGATTTCAACTACTGTGTTCTTTTTATTCCTTCCTCCATTTATATTAATCCAGATGTTACCAGTGTAGGTACTAAGGTCATCCTGTATGTATTTCTGTGCAGCAATATGTATCCTTAACAGATAGTGCAACTCCACCTCCCTTTCTCTTTCTTCTGTTCTTATTGAACAGATTATATCCTTCAATTTTTGACTTCCAGTCACCAGAGTCATCCCACCATATTCATCCTCCTGCATTATGAGTTCAATTTCATGCTGATTGTTTACCATACTCTAGGCATTAGTATATAGACATTGAAGACCATGTGCTTTGTACCCTAGCTTGCTTTCTACATTTTCTGGAAGACTATTATTGGGCATTGTTTAGCCTTTAATCAAATAGACACTTACCTAGGAGTAAGTCCCCCTGACCTGAGTGAGATTTATGGATGTGGATAAGATTGCACTATTAGTAAGCATTCTTCAGCTTGTGACAGACATGATAGATTTTGAGAACATTAGTAATGCCTTGCAGTGTGTGGTGCTCAAAATGACATACTACTTCATGCTGTCAGCATGCATGCCTCTAGTAATAAGTGTAATGGTCTCTGAGTATGTTGCTAAAAGCTAGGATTCAGTTTAAGAGGCAATATTTTTTCAGTATCAAATTATAAAGTATAATTAGCATTTTCTTTTAATTAGTAGCTTTGTCTAACTACATAGAAATGTGCTGGCATAGAATTATGGGAGTTGCAATGGAATACAATCAGAAAGGAACCAGTTTGGGGAAAGCTGACTTGCTGATTCATAGTACAAAATGTGCTCCTAGGGAGATTCTAGGGAGGGTTTATGAGTGTGCGTGGGCAGTTCAGAACTGATAGTTGTATTCATAGGCAGAGGTCAGATAAAGCTATTACACAATGATTATGATGCATTCATGTATTGCGAAGGCAAGTGAAGGATGAAAATGGTAACTTGGGAAGACCTAAACACAAGAGGGATCTTCCTATGAAAGCAGATTTTGTGTGACTGTGTATCTTGCTAGAGAGAGGGTATTAGGTTATTGTTCAGTGGCCAATGGTTAAGTATTTCCTGTTTAAGCTTAGAAGACATGTGAACAGCGTGAGGGTGAACTTGATTTGCACAAGCTGGTGATCTGAGTATTTGAATTGGCATTAGCAGTGAACAACCCTGCCTTCAGGTGAAGACTACCAGTAATTGGGTAAAGCGGTAGTGGATATTACCTGCACTGGGGCTCAAGGCAAAACGTTTCGATTCTAAACTCTTACTATGTGGCTGCTCAGCAGCAACAGAACTATGACCCAAATATCTCTGAAGAGGTCTTCATAAGTCCAAGAGCAGAACCTTAACAAGCCCCATCCCAGCATCTCCTTGTCCTGGAGCTGAGTCCTGCTTAGTTCTTCCTTAAAAATTCTTACAAGCATTTTTTATTTGCTGGCAGGAAGGGGTGAATCAAGCTCCTTCTGACTGTTTCTATGGCCAATGAATGGGCCAGATAGGGGTCTTCTTTGCATGGGAGGCAGTGGGTACAACCCAGTGATTTTAAGGTACTGACCAACACTTTAAGTCTAGAAACTAATAGATGCCACCGGAACAAGGAAATTGTAGTTAATCCTGTACTGCTGTCTGAAAGGAAATGATACTTCTCAGAACCCATCATTCTCCAAGATTCTTCTATCCCTGATACTTCAACTAGCCAAGTGCTTCCTATAAACCCATGCCCTATATCAGTAAAATAGGGAACCTGCAATCTGTTAGGATACAACTCTCATCATTCCTGATCATTAAGCAAGCTGGTGGGACTGATGGGCCGTAAGTTTCCCATCCCTGCTGCAGTGGAAGAAATTGCTCATTCTTTGCTAAAACTTGAAACAATATTTATTTTTTATTTATTTTTTTCAATTTATATCCTGCCTTTCTCCTACAAAGGGCTCAAGGCAGCTTACATCCTTCTCCTCCTCCATCTTATCCCCACAACAAGAACCCTGTGAGGTGGGTTGGGCTGAGAGTCTGTGACTGGCCCAGAGTCACCCAGTTGGCCCCATGGCTGAGCGGGGACTAGAACACAGATCGTCTGAGTCCCAGTCCCAGGCTCTTAACCACTGCACCACAATGTTTTGAATACTATTACAATTGATTTCTCTTACTATATTTATATTGCCCATTTTCTCAAAAGAAGCTAAGCAAGCATGTACAGTTCTCTTCTCCTTTCCCCCACATTCTATCCTCCCAAGGTCATTGAATTGGACAAAGATTTGAATCCAGGTATCCCTAGACTTCTGAGTTGGTTTGTGTGGACCTCAGTTTTACCTTGATGTTCTGTCCACACAATCCCTACTTCCCATTCTCAAAATTATAATATCTTATAGTTCAGATAGGAAGAGGCAGGCCTAAGGAACCTCTGTTCAGGTTTTGTGCAGTATGTCCCTAAAGAATACTGAATAAGTAAATTTACTTCTGGTAACTGTACTGACTAGGACTGTATCCTGAAACAGCTGTGTAAGATACCTGTATTTAGCACAGTGGTGGGGAAAGATGTGCTTTGTACATAGTTGGACCACATTCACTGACTTTATTCTATTCTTTTATATTTTGGATTGACACCTGCCATTTGAAACTGAAGCTGGGATTGGTGGTATCTGTCTTCAAATCTAGTCCTTCTGAACAGGTATTATATTACAGCTTAATTTGTTTCAGGGTTCAGTCCTGTCACATAACACTAGACCTTTGTCTCTGAGCTTATGCAAGGTGCTTTCGCGAAACACTTTCTAGCCATCTGAAGTTTGAAATAAGTTGTATTCTCAGAAGAGGTATGGCATTCAATAGCCTTGATCCCTGGCACTTCTTTTCCTTTTAGTAAACAGAGCACTGTCTTCTGTGTGAACTACTAGGGCTCTACCTCTGAGCATATGCAGAGTAATTTACGCTCGTCATCGGGTAGTAGGGAGATCTAGGGTTTAGTCCCCACTCTGGTATGAAGCTAACTTTGGGTTAGACACAAACTCTTAGCTCAACTTACCTCACAGGGATGTTGTGGGGAGCTAGGTAATGGAGCTATGTAAGCTACCTCGGGTTCCTTTCAAGAGAGAGAAAAAGGAAGGGTATAAATGCAATATAATGACAACCATCTGAGGGTTGAATGGAAGGGCCACTACGGGAGTGGCTTTCAGGTTGCCTCGGACGTGCCAACCATTCCCTTCCCGGCCTCAAAGCGCCGCCGCCGCCGCCGCCGCCGCCGCAGGCTTTGGACAGCTACGCAGGAGGACCTTGCAGCGGCCCCGCGCAAAGCGCGCAGGGGAGGCGCCAGCCGCGGTTACTGCGCAAACGCGACTCGCACCACGCATGCCCAGCAGCGGCGCGGCGCCCAGCGCGTCTCCGTCGAGCTCCCGGAGGCAGAGCAGCGGGCGGGGGCGCGCGATGGAGCCGCGGGCCCGGCCGGCGCGGCGAACAGCTGGCGGAGGCGGCCCTTGAAGGCGGGGAGGCCGCGGGAGCCGCGCGGGCTGCCCCACGACATGGCCACGGAGCCCCCGCGCTGCGCGAAGAGCCGGGAGGCGGAGCGGCTTCCTCGGCGTATCAAGGTGGACGTGCCTCCTCCAGGCTCGGCGGTGGCGGCGACGACGGTGGACGGAGACGAGGATGGAGGGGGGGTCCGGCTCCTCAACGGCTGCGTGCCTCTCTCCCATCAGGTGGCCGGGCACATGTACGGCAAGGACAAGGGCGGTAAGCGACGGGGCGCCCGGGAAGACGCTGGCCAGAGGGCGGGAGAGGAGGCAGAGGCTGGGCCAGGCGTCCCCGCTTTGGCTACGTGCAGGAAGGGGAGCGGGAAGGCTGACCGCACTGAGGCGTGCGAGAAGCGAGGCGTGGCTGCGTAGCTTGCCCAGCCCGGCACGGGAATATTTCGTTTTGGCCGCTCCTGGGATTTAATTGGAAGAGTGGTGTGGCGGCCCCGAGCGATTCTTCTTAATTTGAACCCTCTTGGAACATACCCCCCCCCCAAACCGCTCTGCATCTTTTCACTACTTTGATTTCTGTGTTCTGTTTATGCTTCCAGTTGACTCTGTTGGAAGACTTAAGTGGGGAGAAGGTGGATGGAAACACCTGCCCACAAATCCAAAAACACAATGACTGGTCAGTTTTTATGGCAAGGTGTGCTGTCAAGTCCTATGGCCACCTGTGTGCCTGAGTCTTTCCATTCAAGGGCTTATTACGTATGATAAGGGACGGGATACCAGGCTGGGTCCAGGTGGCTGTAAGCTCCTTTTTGAGGGACAAAGTGATGTCAGCCTCTTTAAGGAGATGGTAGTTATGCTGCTTCTAAAAAAAAAAAAAAGTCTAACCTGGACTCAGATGCTGATAACAAGGTAAAGTTTATTGTATCTTAGTAATTTACCATCACACAAGCTTACAGATCTACTAAATAAACCCTCAAAGGTTGGATACTTATTCTTACATCACTTGTCGTAAGGATAGGTTAGTAGCCAACTTTCCCTTCCTGGGCAAAGTGCTTGAGCAGGTGGTTCTTGCCAACTCCAAACACTCTTGAATGAAATGGATAATGTAGATCCATTTCACTCGGGCTTCAAGCCTGATTTTGGAATGGAAACAGCTCTGGTTACCCTGTTGGATGACTTTTGCCAAGAGAGAGACAAGAGGAGTGCAACCCTCTTGATTCTTTTGGTCCTTCATCTGAACTTATTCTGATACCATCAATCATGGTATCCTTCTGGATAGCCTGTTAAGGTTGGGGATTGGAGGCATTCCACTGGTGTGGCTTCATTTTTATTTGGATGGCTTGGTGCTGCTGGGTGATTTAATTCTGTGCCTTAGCAGTTATGCTATAGACAAAGCTGTTTTCTCCCTCAAGTATGTGAACATGTACATGAAACGATGGGTGGGGGGGGGGCCATTATCTGAAGGTGTGGACTAAGCTGTCATTAGTATGCAGATGATATGCAGCTTTGTCCCCTCTTGAAGTAGTGACTGATCTGAATTAGTGCCTGGGCATGGTGATGGACAGGAGGAGGACCAATAAGCTGGACAAGAGTGGGGAGCTGTTAGTGGGTGGTTTGCTAGCCTTAGATAAGTGGTGTTCCAGAGGAGTTGCGCGCTCCCTAATGGATCAGATTCAGATTTTAGGGTACTCTTGTACCCAGCGCTGTCACTATAGACCTAGGTGGACTTGGTGGCAAGGAACGCCTTTGATCAGCTTAGGCCGATACACCAACTAAACCGTTATCTGGACAGTGATAGTCCAGCCCCAGTTACCCATTTTGATTTTTTTTCTTTTTGATTGCCATAGAAATTAGAGCTCTTTGAGCAAACTGCATGCTCTGTAACTTGCCTTTATTCATTAAGGTGAGAATCACTATATAATCTTACTATACATTAAATTTCTTTTCTACCTGTTTTTACAGAATCAGTAGTTTGCATCCATAATTAATACAGGATCACAAATATTTAAAAATCTATAAATTGCCTACATATTTTCCTATTGAACTAATGAGACAGTGAGAATGTTAAGATACTGTCCTAAAGGTTCATTGTAAAAAACTTGTGGAAGCAGCATTTGTCATATTGGCTTGAAGCCTTGGGTATGCAAAGAACTGAGCCCACCATGGAGAACAACTTTCTCCTTTCTTGTCACAAATTTCCTTTCCTTAGTTGACAGCAAGTGAGTAGATGAGATCATCACAAATTGTTCCTTCAGCTTGTTAGAAATAGGCTGTTGATTTCTCATTTCTTTGAAATTTTCAGTGAAAGGCTTTTATAATAAAGAGATGAAAAGGGGTAAGCATTTGTTGTGAAAGTGGAGCGGATTGTGGTTTCGCTCCATATTGGGAGCAGCTTATGCAATGGTCACACAAACTATTATTGCTCATATTTATATTTTGTTTAATTGCATCTCCAGAGTGAACTTTTATTGCACTTCTAGTAATAAAGTCCAAAGGCCATTTTTTATAATTGTATGTAATAGGTACAATGAAATAGAAACTGCTTATTTTTTCAACTGATAGTGTATACATTAGGGTGGTTTTTCACATCATTACACCTCTAACAGTTGGGCAATTTAATCAAGCCCTTATCAAAGAGATGTTATGGCATCCACTATATTCAAGAGATAAACTTAGGATATGCTTAATAATTATTATTATAATGATTTATAATACTAATTAACAATAATTCATGACACCTTGTGAAATAGATAATAATGGTGCACTCCATTTATTGGATAAGATGGGGTACTCTAGGTCTTTATTCCATTCTTGTTTGAGACCTTGTGCATCATATTTGCTGAAAGTAGTTATTTATGCACAAAAATTTTAGACCTGTATAACTGTGCAGCCTCAATCAATACTTGCAGTAAAACAGTAGCTTTAAAGTTATAAAAGTAGAACCAAACCTGGATTCTTATAATTGCATCTATTGCCATGCAGTCATATCAGGCAATTTATATTTAGCACATGAAGCAGAAAATAGCCAAAAAAAGAGTCGAAACTGATTCAGAGGGAAAAAATCAACCTGTCTCTCCAGTATGCTATATCATTATTTTTTTGCTAACTTGGATTTCTAATAAGGTTAATTTTGCATGTGAAAATACATCAAACTGCAGTTTATATGAAAATATGCACCACGGCTTTCTAGCTGCCACTACTGCAGGGGACACATTATGTATTTGGCATGATGAGAACCCCATGCAACCCACTTGGGAAGAGGATCCAGAAATGAAGATTCCAAACTGATAAGGGAGACAAATGTAATATAAGTGAAAAAGATCACAATCTAGTGCAAGTCAACAAATAGGTGTGATGGTAGAAGGAAAGGTCAGGAAGTTCAAATCCACTCTGCCTGATTGAAAATTGCAGACTTTTCAAGGATATTCATGTTGGACTGGAAGGCCATAAAAATTATGAAACAAACATTAAGCTTCTGGAAATATTTGCAAGATATAAACAAATGAATACCACATAAATCATGAACAGTATTAAGTATTACATAAAATTTAAGTGTATTTACCCTGCCCCATCGACTTCACAGATGCCCATTTGTCAACATCCCTTGATCGCATTAATCATCTTATTCAAATTTGATACATTTCTTTGGACAAGAATTTCCAGGAAAAGGAAGGGACACTTGAGATCATTTAACAAATATATTTTGGCTATTGGAGTACCTCAAAGAATTTCTGTGCCTTTTAGATTATAGCAAAGCCTTTGTGTGGTTCATGATAAGTTCTAGATCATTCTGAAAGAAATGGGTGTGCCTCAACAGAATTTGATTGTCCTAATGCATAGCATGTATCATGGACAAGAGGTTACTATGAGGTCAGAATATGAAGAAACAGAATGATGTTTGATTGTATTTTCCAACCAGAATAAAAATTGATAATCAAAACTGATAATGGTTCATTGAACTGAAAACAAGTTGTTTATGGATTAAGATTGCTCTTCCCTTAAACAAGGTCAAAGTGTCTGTTGCATAGACTTTTCCTGCCTTCTCTTTATAGCTGATGCGTATCTGCCATCAGATCTGTTTCCTGTAAGCCTACCCCACCTTAGTTCCAAATTGTTTTAATTTAGAAAGTACTTTCTTTGGTTTAATTAGATTCCACAGCCCCTTGACATTCCAAGAAGTAATTTTAAACATGGAAGTCTTATGATTATATTATTTGCTCTTGTGCACATACAAATCTTGTCCTTGCTATAAAAATGTATTACACAGCAATTCATAGTATACGTTTAGTAATATCATGGTGCCCTGCACCATTATATTAAAAACAAACCCAAAAGCTAAAGGCCCACAGTGAGAAAGGAAAAAATAATAAGTGAAACCTCTCTAAAAGGAAAAAAGTCAGTATCACTGATACAAGCAAAAAAAAAAAAAAAAAAAAAAAAAAACCAACCAAACCAAAAAACCCTTTTTGGTACTCAGCAAGACACTAATGCAACCCATGCCCTACTCACTCATCAATTATATCACTGATTATTAAGACCAGAACCACCATTCTTTAACATTTTCTAACTAAACAGAAAGGAGGGAAAGGATGAGAGTAAGAGATAGAAAAGAGAGAAAAAGAAAAAAGTCAAAACATAGTACAGGTTGTCCCTGCGGTATGAACATGTGGGTTATGAACAACCTGTGCTTACATATGTATGGACTGCCATAAACCCTGTATGAATATCTCAAAAAAAAAAGTTGTGAATATCTCTAGGGAACTTCACAACGCATTTGGTGATGCTTCATTAGTGGCCGTTTAGTTCCCTAGAGATATTCACGGCTTTTCAGTATAGATAAAGTATTCTAGAGATATTCACAGCCTTTTACTAGGACTAGCCACAGCTATTGCTATGAAACTATGCAGCCTACTTAGTGACATGTTTCTCATTTGGCTGTGTAGTTCCCTAGTCATACAGTATTCATGGCTTTTCGTTCTGCAGCGATCCTAGACTCCAGTGGTAACCCCTGTCTGTCCAGCAGCACAATCACACCCTGACTCTTTAGCACAAGGTCCTTTTCCATCATCATCAGTTAATGTTAGGCTTAATGTTAACTCAAGAATGTTCTAAACTGGTTTAAGAATGGTTTCTTTTATTTTACAGAAACCGTAAAATACTCACAGCTTCTCTCTACTTCAATACCTGTAGTTATTTTATTATTACTGTATTATTATTACTACTACTACTGCTGCTATTACTACAATGCTGTATTTTGTTTAAGATGTTTCAATGAATATGAAAGTGTTTCTTAAGTGTTTCATATGCATAGAAAGGTAAAATATATACTTATACTATGAAAAACATTTGGCTTAGTGATGTGATCTGACTTACATACAAATCTGACTTAAGGACATTCATCTGATTGGGATGGTGTAAACTGGTGTCCTGCAATAGCAGTGGGTTGAAACCAATGGCGTTCATGGCCCCTTCCAACTCCACTATTCTATGATTCAGGAACGTAAGTTGTCCATAATTCAGGGACCACCTGTAAAGGAAGAAGGCAGATGACAAAATGCCTGGAAATATGTATGCCATGGCTAAATGCCCAGAGCTTTCCAATCAGCTTCTGAAAAGTGGAGAGTGAAATTAAACAGGGACTTTAGCAGAAGTTGCAAGATCTGAAGACAACTTCTCAGCAGCTTGAATCCTCACAAGGAAAGATTCTGCAGCTTCTGGAGGACATCGTATCTTCAATTTATCTTAGAATTCTACTGCAAATATGGCAGGGAAAATGGTATGAAGGTTCAGATTAAGAACTCTGGCCATTCATCAAGCCTTTCCAAATTTCCTTTGATGATGTTATAGCAACTTTTACAGCAATTCCAGCTGAAAACACGGAGTAGCAGCTATCCAAAACCAATGCTGACCTAATAGTAAGACTGTTACTCAGTATGGCTCTTGCTCGTTTAAATTTGTAACATTGCTGTTGCAAGCAAAAATCTGTTACAAGGAAAAATGACTTGAATTATTTAATTAGAAACACATAATTTTGAAGGATTATTTGGATCAAAAGGAGTTTATCCCAGTAGATGCAAGTATAATTTTAAAGATGCAATTTTAGGTGTGTCCCAGTATAAGGCAAAAGGCCAAGTGCTCTTAAGCAGAATCTAGCGTGAGGTTGATGTGCTTTATGTCTGCATATCAGAATGATTATTTTCTTAGGCGGTGTCATGCTTTGGCATGACAAAGTGAAGTTGCTACCCAAAAAGCAAGGTAACAAAACGCAGAGATGTTTGAACAGGACAGAACAGGAATCGTTCAGTCTAGTGGGATCAGGCTAAGGTCAAGTCAGCAAGCAGAGGTCAAAGCACACTTAGGTCGTTAGACAAACTAGATGAGGCTAAAGCAGAAGTGGTTGAGAAGGCAGGTATATACAGTACAGAAGCAGAGTCAAGCAGAAGTCCCTGGGTCAGGAACACAGAGGCAACGTATGGTAGGGCTTTTTGGCTTATGAGGAGTTGCCTTCTCCTGAGGAATCCTTTGGAAGTGAGCACTTCTCGCAGGAGCCTTACTGGCCTACTGTTTGAGGTGATGGGGCCCAGGGGTTATGCTTCCTTTGCTTCAGAGGCAGAGTCCCTTTTCCCTGAAAAGGATGGCTGTGCAGCCACCTGCAGGTCATTGGGTCCCAAAGGCCCAATAACAGTGACTGATCTATGGTGCTGTCCATTTCTGAGGAGCATTCTTCCAGTGGGGGCCTGGTGGGCAAGTCCATGGCAAATGGCATAACATTCCTTTGACCAGAACACACCTCTAGTATTCCCTGTGACTTGTAATTCTATATGTATAGAACCTGTCCATAATCTAGGAGGCTTTTCTGCTGTAAAACTTAGTCCTAAATTCAAAGAGAGAGACTTAATAATGAAAAATTCTAGTGGAATATAGGCAACTGTAGCCCCCTTTCAGCACTGATTTAGACTGCAGTTCATCTAACAGTTCAGATCTAGGCATAAACAGGAGTCCAAAATGTATGTACACATGGTTGTAGTTATTGTGAGCTAAACTCAGTGTTTCCCAAGTGGACCTGCCTGAACACTAAGAGATTCCCTTACCCCTACGTAGGGCCCCCAGCAGGCTTCAGGTGTATGTGGAGGGCTGCAGTGGACAGTGGGAATTCCAGGTACCAATGGCATTTGTTCTGCTAACAGAAGGGTGTAATTAGATACAACTGTAGTGGGCAGCTGCCCAGTATCCTCCAATCCTGCTGCCAACTGGGCCTCACTCTCCGTATAGACCTTCCCTGGTTCCCAAACCCCAGACCAGACACTCGATTCGGCACATGACAACCCAAGTGTTCAGGGAAAGGAATTTATTAAAAGGTTAAAAGATAGAGTGGCAGGTACTAAAACAACAAACCAAAGAATATCCAAGTGGGGGAGGAAAAGGGAATTTGGAGAGCAGCAGTAATACACTTCACAGCCAACCAAAGCCCCCAAGGCCCCAGGCCTTGTTGGCCATCTCAGACACAAAATAACAAAGCTCAGCCTAACTTAGCCATACACACAGATGCTATACCAGTCACAGATACCAATGGCACAGGGCAGCACAGCATTCTTTGGCAAAGTCTGGCAGCAAGATTGGAAACTCTCCTCAAAGAGGTTCTCTGAGCCCTTTCAGACTCTCATCTTTTATTTCCCCCAACCCAGGTCAGATGGCTCATGGGGTGACAGCATGTGATGGATCCCAGCTGAGGACCATTTGCTGTTACGGCCACAATCTCCTGTCCTGTCATTCGAGAGTGAATTCTCCTGTCCTTGGGTATAATTTACAGTATCTTCTTCTGCATCCTAAGAGCCTATCCAGTCCTCCCATGACCTTGGCACCAGTGTCAGTTTGCCCTTCTTGTCAGTTAACTCTTCCTTCTTGGGTAAAGCCTTTATAACAAGGCTTTGAGATCAAACATTTGAGTGCATTCTAGTCATGTGGAGCCAATGCCATGATTGTCATAGATGATTATATGAGTGAATACTTGTAAACAGAGACTTACGGAATTTTACAAAAACATATAATGCAAAAAAATAATTCGTTACCAGGATAGTTCATCCAAAATTTATCACAATACATGTTTTGGCAAGGTTTTCATATTCAAGAGAGCAGCCAAGACCATTCTTATTAGCTAATTGCTGGGCAAGGAATCATTACAAAAGTTGTTTTTAGTTTTTGCTGTTAGATTACAAACCACTGACATAGGAATACATTCAAATGTGGTTGGCTAACAATTTGGCGGATTTCTGATCTTCCCTTGTGTCCCTGTCATGATTAAATGAAAACAAAGCCGGAAAACATAATGTGTTTTTATTTTCATGTATTTAGATTATGTTCCTGAACTATGCAAAATGTAGCATTCAAAAACACACAATGCCATTCTTCTAGTCTAAGCAGCAGGTCAGGGATAAGGAACCTTCGGCCTGTAGAAGTTCACCATCTGGCACCCAGAGCCCCCAGGTGCCTCCAGTTCTGCCCCAGAGAAATCCATTCTGTTATCTCCATTCTGTGATTGAAAGTTACAGGGATTCCTCTGTGCTTCTCCCCTCAGTCCATTGCCCTTGTGAAGTCAAGCAGTATGCAATGAAATCCTACCATTCTCTTTGATCATAGTTGGAAGATAACAGTAGATTTAAGCGGGCCTTGCTCACAGCCCCCCATCTGGTTAGTTGGTCTGCACTCACAGAGATGCAACATTTAGTATTGTCCATTGTAAGTTCCCTCATGGGGGAATTCCTCCCCTGTTTGATCATTTTTTGCATCTTTTTCAGTTCAGTGGCCAGAGTTGTGTGCGGTATTCCAAGTGTAGACACATCATAAAACTGTATAAGTGTATTATGATACTGGCAGTTTTATTTTTGATTTCTTTACACATATTCCTTAACATGGAATTTGCCTTTTTCACAGTGGTCATACACTGGGTAAAGATTTTGATCTGTTATCTGTTAAGTGCAAGCTCAAAATGTCTTTCATGGATAGGCACTGTCAATTCTGTAAAGTCACTGCTAGCCATGTGAAGTTAGCATTTTTTGTGTCAGTATGAGTCAGTTTAATCATTAGATGACACTTGCTTAGCTTCTCATGTGTAGCAAAGAATTTAGTTTTTAAAGTTGAGACATTCTTTTGAATAGTTCACCTTTGATCTGCAGTTCATATTCTGCAAAATCAGGGAATTATGATCAAGGACTGCAGTTTTCTGGGTCAAAGTAAAGCACTTTGCACTACGGAGTGCAACTAGGACAGGTCTTTAAATTAATTAGTTAAGTTGTAAGTATGTTGCAGATTAGCTGAAGTTGCAAATGGTTTTGCTTTAGTGTAGCAAGCTTGGCTTTTTATCAGCCATGTTTAAAAATAATATTGTCAGTGAAGTGAAATTATCCAGAACAAAGGCAGTAGTTAGTGATAAAAATAGGAACATGGTTAGCTGTAAAACAAGATTCCCTTTCTCATTTTATGTATCTTTGGTCTGTGGGGTGAATGTTAGAATGGTTCTTAAACACTCCATCTTTATAAGGACATTGTTGAAGTGTCTCTGCCCCTTGGCTTTTCCACTGAGAGCTCTGTACAGTCATAGAAAACAGCATGTGGTCTGCATGATGGAAGTATGATGATCCCTGTTGGGAAGAATATGAGCAGTCTCCTTATCTTGTTTTACTTATTTAGAGGAAATTACTTTATTGTCTTAGGTTAAACATATTTAGACAGAAAAATACCTTACAGCATCTAGCATTTAGAAGCAGTTATGCAGTTTGAAAGTCAGGATCTTTTATACTTTTAAAGCAAAGTTGAGGATTTAACATCTTTATTGTGCTCCAGGTATCTTGCAGCATCCTGATGGCACAGTTCTCAAGCAGTTGCAGCCACCACCTCGAGGGCCCAGAGAACTAGAATTCTATAACAAGGTAAATGCCTCATTCTAATTCATCCCTTTAATTGGCAGATGAATTTATACTTTCAAGAAGAGCTTAACTACGCTATTTGTCTGTGCAAATATAATTGGGAAGACTTTTGCAAAACCTTATTATCTCAATTTGACATCTAAATTGTCAGTTCTCAAGATGACATTCTTGCTCAGGATGGAGCATGTGATAACCTGTATGGAAGACAATTAGGTACTTTAGGCCCAAACATTTAAAGCTTTTTCTAGGTACATTACTGCAAGCATTCTAAATATTTATGAAGTACTGTACGTGATATGTGTAAAAGGTGGAGTGCTGGTATTACCATGAATTTATGAACATATGTTGACATTATGTCTGATATGCAGCACAAAGTCACAGACCCGTTGGACAGTGTAATACTTTTTGTGTATCTTCCCTCCCACATGCATACACCACCATGCTCAAGAGAACTGCTACTTGCCTGTATCACACTGAGTTCTTGTGGCACTTGGAACCACACTGAAAAGGCAACATAGACAATTTCCAAGCTGAGGAGAAGGGCAGAAATTCATTGTACTTGCCTGAATGGATAGGTGTGTTTGAGATGAAGTCTTGATATTTTATGGAACATCATAAACAGACATGTCTTTATATAATTAATTTAAATTAACTCTCAGCCCAACCTATCTCACAGGTTTGTTGGTTGTGGGCATAAGACTGAGAGCAGGAAGAGGGGAATTACGTAAGCTCATGCGATGGGACGGCATACAAAAATTCTAAATAAATAAGCAAGCAAGCAAGCTGCTTTGAGTTCTTTAAAAAAAGTGGGATAAAAATCTAACTAACAAATGTAATTAGTCTGTTTGAATGTCTATGAATTAAGAAAACAAAGTTTCATAGAGATGTGTAGGTGGGATAGCTTTGCAGTTTGTTTGATTCTGACTTACTCAGATTGAATCTCGGGGTCTGTTATGAAAGCTAGCTCAGTGCCTCTAAGCATGTGTAGTGCAGAGCTCTTTTGCTGGTAGGTGTAAATTGCCTCACATAGCTTCAGTAAGTGAGTCTATATGCAAAGCATATACTTTCTAAGCAATGTTGAACTCTCTCTTCTTTTTAAAAAGTAAATTCCATCAAGAATGTCAATGCTTATAGCTTAATTATCAAACCTCTAAAATTGAGGTGGTTGTCTCCACATCGTGAGTTCTCTTCTTTTTCTATTTTCCATGAATAAGCTTCATGCTAGAGAGCTATTTAGGCGTGGGTGTTTGAAGAAAGGAAGACTAGTTAACACAGAAGAAAGACTTGTAGATTGCATAAAATCAGCTGATTCCAAGCTAACAGCTGGTTTAATTATTAATGCTGCTGTTTCTGCTCTCTTACCCTGAAATTGTATTATAAAGGAAACTGGTAATTATGTAACTGGTAGCAGTTACTAGATTTACAATATGGATAGCATATCCTATAAGTTATTTTCAGGCTGTCAGTAGAGCAAAAACTAATACTTAAAAAGTGTGGCGAATTTTATTTGGCCAAGTTAGAGGGTGTGCCGAGAGTTAACACTGGGGTTCACATGGAGAGAAATATAAACAACTTGTTACTATAAGAACACTTGAACAGCTTGTACTGAAACATTCAGCTGTAAATTATTCCATTCCCTATTAAAGCCAAAAGCAGCATGTGATTGCCCCATTTAGGAATGGTTGCATGCAATGAAGCATATTTTCTACCAGTGCTGATCAGACTTTTTTTTAAATAGTGTAAGTTATTTGTGTATTCTGTCACTTCTGCAGATTTATGTTTGTAGGGAATAACTAATCACCAGAATAATTTTGAAATTTAGAGTCCTAAAATTAACCTGTTAACAAGACTCCGCTCTTTCCAGGCATTTATAAGAGGCAGTCATCAGTCTGTGTTTTGTTCTTTACATTTTTCTTGCCTGTCTGATCTACTACATTTTCTATCACTAAGGTCTTGAAAATGGTTTTATTTTATATAATGGCCAACAGTGATATGTAAATACAGTAACTCAATTTCATGGATTTTTCCAGTTACACTGGAAAAAAAGAACAAGAGTGTCATTGTGTCTCTGAAAAGCATATACCCAATATTTTGCTTCTACAGAGGTAACCCCTAAGTTCCAATTTTATATAGAAATTGCAGTCGTCTCAGTTGCAAAACTGATAACATTTGGTGAACTTAAGAATTATTCCTAGTGTTGATTTGAATACATAAAGATTTTATTCTGTTCTCAGTTAGTGATGTGGTTTTGTGGAAAGCTTGTTTTTGCTACAAGAACATGACGCATTTGTTATTGTAAGATGACATTTCAAGCATAATATTGAATGACACATGAAGAACTATGCAGAATAAATTGTATTTTTTGCATCTTTTGGTAGTAGAATTTATTTTCTAGTATGTTAACAGTTGTAGTGAATGAGACAACAAATTGACTTGTCTTTTTACTAATGACATGAACAGGGTTATTGAGGTATATTCTAACAGGACCAAATTGTTTATCAACTATATAGTTTATCCAATTCCCAACATTACGGCAGGAACGAGCAACATGAGCCTCACCAGCTATTTTGACCTCCAGCTCCCATCCTCTCGCGGTTCTGGATGTTGCAGTTAGGACTGATGGAAGTTGTAGGGCAGAACATCTAGAGAGGCACAAGCTGCCCACCCCAGGTTTATAAGCTGTACTATGAGATTTTGTACTTAGTACTGCTACAGATTTCCAGGGTTTTGCTCTTTGAATTGAATAATCTTCTTAAGAATTTTTAGTTATTTGGGGGAAATTCAAATTACTAATGCATCCTTCTCATATACACTTTACTTGTTAATAGAGGGATGTCAGTCTTCCACCTACCTCCTATCTCTGTTCCAGCTGGCCACTGATATTCGCCGAAAATAATATATCTTTGATTAATTACAGTGTGTTGCACAGATTATCTAAACCTTTGTGTTGGGCTGTGTTGAAGCCTGTGAATTTCAGAAATCATTTTTATAACAAAATAGTCACATCAGTATTGTTTGCATATACCAGTTCTCAAATCCCACCCATATCCTACACTTTGGAGGTAAGCTTTCTTTCAATTTCTTTCTTGGTAATGCTTTGAGTTTAAGGTGCTAAAATAGTTTTATATAAGTAAAGTTGTCTGCCACAGGAGGGAAAGGTTCAAATATATTTCTTTAAAACACCTTACTTCAGGTGTATGCTGCTGACTGTGAAGACTCCGTGTTTCTAGAACTTCGGAAATATTTGCCAAAATACTATGGGACCTGGACACCACCTACTGCACCCAATGGTATGACTGCTAAAACTTATAGAATGCTATGTGCTAATTTTATGATAACTTCTGAGGAGGTACTTTTGAAAACATTAGAAACTGATTACCTCATAGTTGCATAATAAAGCCTATCATGAAACAAAATACTGATATGTTTTGCTGATTGAAGAATATTTTGTGTATCTGGACTGCTTTCTGCTAACTAAATAACTTATTCAATAAGCTTGAACTGAATGTATTTCAGCACTTCTAAATCAAAATATATATTCAGCTGCTAACTCCAACAAAAGTGCTAGTATTGAATAATAATTCTGGTATAAATTCAGTTTAAGTGCTTATATTAAAAATAATAATCATAATTCCAGAAAGATTTTTTTAGGTTTAAATGTAACCTAATATATTAGAGTACAGACAAAATTAAAATGGTAGACCCTGGGTTTGATAGTGTCTGTTTGGGTGGAAAGAATTAAGGAGTCAAATATGGCGAATCCTCCTGAAACATATTGGGCAGTTTGAGCTTTATTTGTCATTGCTGCTTCTCACAAGGTAAGTGCTTTTACTGGAATATTAATAGGCATGATAGATCTTATCATGCCAACTAACTCATATCTGACTTCATAGGTGCCTTATATAGGAGAATTCAAATAATGTTGCATGGAAGCCGCTGCTTAACCTTTGCAACTCGTAAACTTGTATAAGTTTATTTCTGTCAACCTCTAATGAGGAAATTGATTGGTTAGATTATGCTATTGATTAATTTATTCTGAATTTTTAATAGATTTGTACCTGAAACTGGAAGATGTGACACACAGGTTTAAAAAGCCATGTATAATGGATGTAAAAATAGGTCAGAAAAGCTATGATCCATACGCATCACCTGAGAAGATTGAGCAACAGGTCAGCAAGTATCCACTAATGGAGGAGATGGGTTTCTTGGTGCTTGGCATGAGGGTAAGCCATAGTTTTCACTGGATTTTAAATCATTTGTTGCTTTTGAACAGATGCGGCCCTGTTCAGAAGATACTTTTCCTCATGAGGCCTTTAGGTGGGCCTCAGATTCATATACCTTTTCCTATGTACCCTTTCATCATTGCATGAAAATACAGGTGGCCAAATTGGAGCAATGCTTAGGAAACATCTGAACAGCATTTTTTCTTCTAATGTAGAGGAATATAGTTAGTCTAGATATGTCCTGGCGCGCGCGTGCGCGCGCGCGCGCGCGCGCACACACACACACACACACACACACACACACAGTCTTCTCTTCCTGGTTTCGTTACAGTGTTTTATCCTTTCCCCTCTACAGCTCTAACTCTCCTGCCTGTCTTTTCTCCCACTGCCATACTTATGCTCCATTGCATATTTTTCACTTAATAACATTGGCAACAAGCTAGCATTGTTATTTGGTTATCAATGGTTGCATTCATCCATGACTTCAGAAAACATGGTTTATAAATGTGGATGAGCATTGAAGATACCTACTTCTGTTATCCATTCCCTCTTCCATCCTGGAGATCCTGGATTGCAATTAATCAGAGTTCCCTTTACTGATTTAATCAAGGACCTCTGGTTTAATCCTGGTTAATGAAAAAAGATACTAAGCCAGGATCTGACCCAGAGTTTCCCAATTTGACAGTAGGGTGAATTTTGTCTTAAAGTAATCCAGGATCTCTGCAGCAGGAAGAGCTGAGGTGAAGGAATGAAGGGAGTGTGTTGATTTATTCTTTTTTTATAATAAGTTTTATTTGAGAAATTATACAAAAACAAAAAGAAAACTACAAACAACATCCATAATCAAAAAACATCGAGCCCACTGGGTCAGCCCCCACACCTTTCTCTTTCCATCTATAATAACTAAAAAACATATTTAAGTCTATGCAAAGTCCCAATAATCTAACTCTAGCCAATAATAAAAAGATTCCCAAGTTTGATAGAAGTCAGTATCTTCTTTCTCCTTCAATGATAAATCCAGGATCTTTTAATCAATTCATCGGTGGGTAGTTCTTCACTTTTCCATTGTTAAGCGAATACAATCCTCACCGCAGTGATTACATATCAAATCAGATACATTTCTTATTTACTAATGTCCCAGTATAATGCCTAATGAAAAAGAAATTTAAGGTTTAAAAAACTAAGGATTTTTGTACCACTGCCTCTACCATATATAATAAAAAATACCCAATTTATGTTTACATATCCAACATCCATTTGACATCATTAAAAACATCTTGGCTAATCTATTTGGCGATAGCTACCACCTATAACACATTTTATACAAGCTTTCTTTATACGAGGTTGCTAATGTTACCTTGATATTTCTCTCCCACAGCTTTTACCACATTTCTAGTTCAATATTATATCTAAGATTTTGTGCCCATTTTATCATAGCTTCCTTAACCTATTCGTCTTCCATTTTCCTAACAAGTAAAAGGTCACACAATCTTTTAATCATTTTCTCATCTGGTTTAAACATCATTTAGTCAAATACTATTAAGTCCTTATAAAAGCCCCACGCTTTACCATCTTTAGCATATCTCAATTATATCTGCACCTTATGTCACCAAAAGATATCAACTCCCTGTTCTTGTATTGCTTAGCTCAATTTCAATCCTCCATCTTTATCCAAAATGTACATCATATCTTATAATCCCTTCAAAATTCAATGCATTTGGATACACAGAAGCTTCCATGGGTGAAAAAAACCATCTTAGTATAACTTTTCCCACACCAACATTAATGATTTTATAGTATAGTAACTTAAAAAAGAATCATGTGACTTAGCCTTCTTATACCACATATAAATGTACCAACCCATTTACAAATCATTCCTTTTAAAATAGAAAATTCTCTTGTTTCTTCTTTACACCCCTACCTCTTCTCTTTTCCTTTGTTTTCAGTATCTATAGTGCTTGTTGTAAATCAGTATCCACTTCCAGTGTCTGTACTTCTTGTTGCAAATCAGTATTCGCTATTTCTCCTTCCTCAAGTTGATATGTAGTTAGTTTGGCACCTATCCCTCCTTTTGAGGCACCCCGTTCTTCCTCTTCAGGCATACTGCTAAGTTTTTCATAAAACTCTTGTGCCTTAAAAATCGAGTCCAGTTTGTATCTTGTAACGTTCCAGGTAAGAGATGTTCCTTCTGTCATTAGCCACCTAAACATAGTCTCTCTCAAATATTTGGATACCTTCTCCCTCTCTAGTGTAACAAGCGAATCCCATGATAACTTATTTATTTGCTTTATTAATTGTATTTCTTTATCTACCATTACAGGTTTTTCATATGTTTGTTGTATTTTTTGTGTATTCTGTTCAGTTTTAAATTGAACATCCACCAGTTGGGATGAAACTTCCTTAATAGAATTATCCAGTTTGTCGAGACGTTCTCTTTGTTCAGTTGAAATGTTTTCCTGTTGCATTGAAATCGCCTCTTGGGATGCTTGCAAGGCTTTTAAGGATGTCTGTATTGCCAGAAGCGTCATCTGTAGCTCTTTTTGATATTTTCCAACATCTGCCGCTTTAGGCTGATGAGTTGGACTCTGAGGAGCTGATGTAGGTGCTGAAGAGTAGGAAGAGTGTGTTTTTTCCATAATGGTAATAATTTTTACCAAAAATTACAAGACAGAGTAATTACAACAAAGAAATAGAGAAGAGAATAAAGATAGAAAAGAGAAAAAGAAAAAAAGAAAAAAAAAAGAAACTTGCTATAAATCCAAATAGCCACAGGGTGGCAGCAACGGGCTATTTGTCTTTAAATGGCAAAAAATGGCGACGCAAAGAAAGGTGATATTTTTGGTATGAGAATAGCTTTTGGCAAGAGTCCAATTGTTTTTGGCAAGAGTCCAAGAAAAAAAAAAGACTGATCAAAGTAAACTTTATCTTCTATCACGTTATTCCACAGTAATTATTTATTCTGATTCTTCACCCTAGGGGAGGTTAGGAAAAAAAGGTCTTTCTCTCCAGCCCCAAACTTTCCAAAAGAGCCTCAGTTCCTCTCCCCCAGATCAGTCGCTGCTTAAAACTTGGTGAGGGGAGGAAAAATTCCTCCATCAAAGGGCTTCCCTTTTCTTTTTTATGCCAAATTAAGCTGTTGCTGCTCTTTCACGGGTAGTATAGAATAATAAAAAAATAATAAAAATGCTCACCCAGCAGGTCTGATGAACTTCCAGCTAATTATTCTATGCTATTGCCCCGGTTGTCGATGGCTTGTAGGGAGCTGAACTCTCCGCTGTGTTGTTCGATTGAGAAAAGCCTGAATTTTTCCCAATAAATGCGGAGCCGCCGCCCCGCACCAATTAGAAGAATGCCCGGACAATCTAATCTTCTTCCCGACAGGGCTTAGATGAGCCTCCCACGGCTCTCTGTCGAACAAATACCAGCGTGATAACGGGAGCCCCCGCTCTTCACAGCCATACCACCACAACGCCAAACCGGAAGTATGTTGATTTATTCTCATTGCTATACTATCTCTTGATGTGAAATGGTTCATAAATTCTCAAATAAATAAAATGCCAGTTTTGGTGGTATAATTGTTCTTCTTTGTTGCCTCTGTGCATTACACATATGGCAGCCCACAGAGAGAGTGCCCCTCAGATGGGGGCAGCTTGCTATTACAGGAACATATCTTCTGAAGGCCGCTGCTAATGCCATCACACAGTTAGGAAAAAAGGCAGGAAAAGTGTAGAGAAAAAGTGTAGGAGTGGCAACATGGGAAGGGGTGAGGAGTGGTGGATAGGAAAGTAGGTAGAAATTGTTTTGGTCAATTTTTGTTTTGAAGAAAAGAGTGAAAAGTGGGTTGTAGAAGAGAGATGAATGAAGGGAGGATTGTTTCGGATAGACAGAAAGAGGAAAAAAACAGTAGAAAGAACACAGAGTACCTAAGGTAAGAGAAGAGCAAAGCAATTCCTGATCTAGGTGTGATGGTGGTTGGAAAGGAACTTAAGGGATGAGCAGGAGCCCTTCCTCATGCTTCCTGGGAATGGGAGAGGCTTCTACCCAAAATGAATGGTCAGCTATAGAAGCTTTCCAACAATAGGTGCTGCACAGGCACAAAAGCCCGTATGTGTGGCTGAAGAGATGGTCTCTTGAAGAACATTAAGTAAGTTACAAGTAACCTGTGAGTGAGTAAATTTGTCTTCTAATTTATGCAACATATGTCTGCCTTTTCCTTTGGAGAGAGTCTTGCTTTGTGATAAAAGCAGTTGTAAAAAAACTTGTCTAAATTCATGTTGCATAACCTGCAGATTGTTAGTTGATCCTGGGGAATCCAAGTGGAATTCTTGAACATTCAGAACTCTTACTTGCATTGGTTTCTTTGTTTGCTGCTTTCGGGCCTTATAATAGAAAGAAACAGTTTGATTTGGGGAATAAGAAGGAAGAACAACTGAATGGAATGGAGCCTGACTGGATGAAAGGAAACATCAAGACCGCTACCAAACATCAAGAAAGAGTGCCTTTTGTTCATTTGACTTGCTTTGCTTGTTAATTGTTCAGTTTTTTTCAGCTTCTTGCTGAGTGCCATTGGGAACTTTGGTGGTCTAGAGCTGTGGCTGGGCCAGCTCTGGGAAGAGACTTATAAAGACTGGCCCTGTCATGGGTGATGGGGCCAACCCTGAAGGAGTGACACCCACAGGACTTGTCCTTTTGGGGAGTCACATGAGCAGGAGTGTCCCTCCCTGTTGGCTAGAAATAGGAGGATTGCCAAATTTCTGTGTGAGTGGAGAAAAGATAGGACTATAGATCAATCAAACAGAAGATGTTATTATCACCTATGCTGATCTTAGATATTCAATTGCCCTACAGTCATCCTTGTCCTTTATTATTCTGTTCGAGCTAGTTGGTTCACAAGTATTCCTTGGCTGAATTATTAGTTTCCTTTCTAATTTTTTTCAATCTGAAATATAACTTTAAGATGCTTACAACTGAAATAACAGCATATAAAATTAACCATACAATTAAAATAATTATTAAAGAGAAGTTATTACTGTTTCCTTTTGAACATTCCCCCTTTTTTCTTTCATTTCTTTCTTCTCCACCCTTCTCTTTCTTTTTTCCTTTGCTATTTTCTGGAAAGGAAAGGCTAAAAGCCAGGATGTATCAGGATGGGAGGGAAGATGATTTGGAGGTAGAGGATGCCCCTGTAACAGTTGTCATGGATAAAGGATAGTGTAGTATGATGTAGTGAATGTCATTGGGTATGGTGTAGGAGGCAGATGGCTACAAGCCGTTTCACCCTTTGCAATATGTGTCACCCTGTTGTATGCAATCTGAGGAATTTCTGAATGCTCTAGAGCAGCCTACCCCAACTTGTGTCTTCCAGACACATTTGGATTCCCAGTCAATGGCCCTGCTGGATGGGAATTCTGGGAGTTGTGGTCCAAATGCCTCTGAAGGCCACCATGTTGGGGCAGGCTGCTCTAGAGAGTTTTTCCAGTAAGTAGAACTGGTAATGGTCTTAACAAAATCACGCCTGAGTACACTTTTGTACTCAGCCTGTAGTGTAGAGCCTGGAAGGCTTCCTAATTTTACTGGGTTGCTCTGGAGAGTGAAAGAGGTCATAAGACAGCATAAGATTTCTCATGAAAGTGATCAAGCACATGTATGAGTGTGTAATTGCAGTGAAGGCACAAAGAAGACTTAGCTTGCCACCTCTGTTACATCTTCCAACAGCTGTTCAGTTGAGCTTTTCTGACTGAGTTGTGGATTACTCTAACCCACTGAACTCAGTGCTGGAATCCTTGGAGTCTGTGATGAGTTTACAAGACACTCAGAGGATAAAATTCACCCTCTTGCTGAATTGAACACTGGTATTAGTGCAGTGTTTGTTGAAGTGTCCAGTGTATCATCCTGTCTTGATTTGTGGGATCAGTTTTAGGTTTTGGAGCCTGTGGATGTGCACGGGACACTAGCATCTCTACCACTCACCCTCCCGCTCAACCTTGCCCTTTAGGGCTTATTCCTGCTAGCCGTGGTGTACTGACTGAATGGATCAGGGGAATGGGAAATGTATAATGGTTTACAACCTTGAAAGCGACAGTGGTGTAAATGCTTCTGAGAGAACCACCCCCTGGGTCCATACATATGTGCCAACTATTTTTCCATAACAAATACCCCCTTCCTGAGTATAGTGCTGCGGCGAGCAGTGGCATCTCAACTGCAGGTGCTCTTGAATGATGCTGAATCCAGAGTGGATCCATTCCATACTAGATTCAGGCTTAGTTTTGGGACAGAATCAGATTATCTTCCTTGGGAGAGGGACAGTAGGGGTTTGACCATATAACTACATGTGGATCTCTTAATGGCATTTGAAACCATTGACCACAGTATCCTTCTGAACCACCACTGTGAGTTGGGAGTTGGAGACACTGGTTCTACAGCGGTTTCAATTTTCTTTGTGAGGTTGATTCAAGAGAATTAGGGTTGTGTGACTGCACTTTGGCCCCAAGGCAGCTGGACTGTGTGCTGCCACAGGGTACCATCTTATTCTGTCTAGGCAGAGTGGTACTGGACTGGAGACCTAGAAGATATGGTGTTTAGTCCCCCCTCAGTTCTTCATAAAAAGAGGAAAGGTGGGATATAAATACAGTGCCATCATCTTCCTCCTCTGCTTCCGCTGCTGTGTTGTCATCTTCCTCGTCATGATCAGGAAATCGGGAAAGATGCCACCAGTATTCTGATGACACCCAGCTCTATACCTCTATGATATCTGACTTGGGAGAGGCTCTGCACACTCTCAGCTGGTATCTGGATACAGTTATAATTTGGATGCCAGTTAGTAAACTGAAACTGAATCCTGCTAAGACAGACTATGGTGGCAGTTCCCAAGTCCATGAATTGTGATGTTTGCCTGCTTTGGATGAGGTTTGCTCTCCCTCTGAAGGAGCAGATAAGGGGATAAGTGTAGATCCATCTGTATCACTGGAGGCATTAGTGGCTCAGAGCACCCATTACCAGCTTCATTTGGTATGCCAACTTTGCCCATTCCTGATTAGTAATAATTTAGCCATGGTGATTAATGCACTGGTAACCTCACAATTAGATTACTATAATGTGCTCTGTGCCGGACTGTCTTTGGGCCAGGTTCAGAAGCTGCAGCTAGTGCAGAATGCAGCAGCTAGCATGGTCCCTGGGACCCAGCTATGCTCACCAAAGGTCTGTACTAGAAGAATTATACAGGCTCCATACTAGCTATTGAGGTTATGCTGTTGTCATAGAAATCCCTAAACAACTTAGAACCAGGATGTGTGGTAGACCACTTCCCTTTTATATGCTCAGCTGATTATTTAGATTGTTGTAGAATGCCTTGCAGCTCATTCTAACATCACCAAAAAGTTTATCTATTTATTTATTTTAAATTTTTAATACTGTCATTCATTAAAAATCTCATGATGGTTTACACAATTAAAAAACCACACAATTACATTATGTTCCTGTGTACTTTGATGGTTGGCCTTTTTGGTAGTGGTGACCAGGTCGTGGGAAAATTCCTCATGCAGTTTGGGAAACAGAAAAGCCTGGCACCTTTCAAATGCCTCTTGCAAATGCAACTCTTCTGGCTTAATTAAATTAACTGTGCTGTTCCATTTTTACTGCTGCTGTACTGATTTCTGTTCTTGTTTACTTTTAAAATTGTGTTTTAAATGTAATTTTAATTGTGATTTTTATATTTACATGGAAACCACTTAAGAATTTTTAAATATTTAGTGGTATTAAAATAGTACAAATAATAAATACTATGATGTAATATTCTATTGCATTTTTAAAATTAAAACATACCATGTTAACAGCATTTTCCACTGTGATCTTACTGTGTTGAACTTCAGTTTCTAGATAGTTCTACTTCATGCAGTTCTTTTATGCTTGTATAGAAGAAACATTTGTATATATGCAAATTATTACATTGGAACTCACTCTAGGGCAAAGAAATTTTCAAGCAATCAGGCAGAGTAATATATTATTACTACTTGTGTTTTTAAGGTTTATCACATCCATTCTGACAGCTATGAGATGCAGAACCAGCACTATGGAAGAAGCTTAACAAAAGAGACAATAAAAGATGGTAATATTTTCATCATTATTAGTTCATTTTACCTCATAAAAGCAATTCAGGCCTTTATACAAGAATATCCAAGCTAGAACCTGTGAGTGAGTATAGTGTCCTTGGAAGTTAAGAAAGTTGAAGCCAGTAGCATTCAATAAAACAGCTAGTATGCAGAATTGCTGGGCTAGAGTAAGTAGCCAAATTTTGATTGGTGATTAAGAGGAGCAGGGAGAAATAGATCATTGTGGAAGAAGATGGAAGAAAGGAGAGGTGTCTCTTGATTTTCCAGCAATATGTATGGACAGCAATAACATTGTCTTACATAGGGGTCTCTGCATAAAGGTAAAGGTTTCCCCTTGACGTTACGTCCAGTCATGCCTGACTCTAGGGGGCGGTGCTCATCTCCGTTTCCTAGCTGAGGGAGCCAGCGCTTGTCCGCAGACAGTCTCCGTGGTCATGTGGCCGGCATGACTAAACACCGAAGTGCACGGAACGCTGTTATCTGCCCACCAAAGTGGTACCTTTCTATCTACTTGCATTTGCATGCTTTCGAACTGTAAGGTTGGCAGGAGCTGGGACGGAGCAATGGGAACTCACTCCATTGTGCAGATTTGAACCGGCGACCTTTCGATCAACCGGCCCAGCAGCTCAGCAGTTTAAACCACTGCGTCACCTGCAGTCCCTGGGGTCTCTGCATAGAACATGGTTATTGTTCATTGCAGGGACTGCATGCTTTATATCAGGCTCAGTATATTTATTGATAAGGGGATTGAGCATTGATAAGATGTTTGCAGTGGTTTTACAGTGATTCCTCAATAATTAGAATAGCTGTGCAATGTGGATTTGTTGTATTATCCCCTTACTGCATTTGAGGAGAAAGCAGATGTTGAAGGGAATGGGTTTGCTTAAGGGCATGTCAGAGACAAGATTTGAAGCAGTCAACAACCAGATCACAGTATACCATCAAAACATTTGGGATATACAATCTGATGCAGGCATGCTTTCACTCCATTATAAATTTTGTTAAAGATATAGTATAGTGTGGGAGAAGCCTGTGCCAACACATCTGTCTGGTCTTTATTGGTCATGTGGAAGGGAAGCTAAGGTATAAAATCAGCAGCATGTAAACTACTTGAGCTAGACAGGGTATTGGTTGTACATCCAGTCATTTATTTCCTTGGCAGATAATTGCAATGGTTTCTTCCTTTCAGGTGTGGCTCGTTTTTTCTATAATGGATACAACCTGAGAAAAGATGCTGTAGCTGCCAGTATTCAAAAGATTAGAGAAATCTTGCTGTGGTTTGAAAGCCAAAAGCAGCTTAACTTTTATGCAAGTTCCTTACTATTTGTCTATGATGGCTTGTGTCCAACAAAGACAACGTGGTTGAATGATGGCACTCTGTTGGAGAAGAGAAGAATGCCCAAGGGGGAAATGCCAAGTAATAACACACTGGAATATAACAACAATATTCATGTAATCAATTCTGCAGAAAGCGGCAAGGTGGAGACCTCTGTAAGCAAAGGCTTCTCTACAATATATGCACTTCACAAAAGGCAGCAGAGTCAAATTTCACTAGAAGTTGAATCTGTGGAACAGGATAACATATGGAAGAGCAGTGCTTGCTTTTCACAAAAACATTTGAATGGAAATGTCATACCTCAGTTGGAAAAAGTTTTCTGCCACATGCCCACTACTTTGCCAGAAAGTGAAGAGGTTGAAATCAGGATGATAGATTTTGCGCATGTGTTCCCCAGCAATGCACGAGATGAGGGCTATATTCATGGGCTGAAGAACTTAATTACCGTCCTTCAAAATATTTTAGATACCTGATTTTTTGCAATTATTTCTATTGGGGACCAATTATAATGAAAAGCAACAACATTTCTGCACTTGTGATCCTGTTATATGTTGGTTTGTATTGTTCTACATTTTACTTGTCTTTGTACTTTTGGTAGAATGATCAAATCTTTTATAATCTTACTCAGGAAACATTATAGTTTAGTAAAATAAGAGAGAAGCTAATGAGATGCAACTGTTGCTTGCAGGAACTTTCATTTAACAAATGAAGCTTACCTGAGTTTGTGGAGTATCTTGTATAATATAAAATGATTATGTTTTCTCATACCCTTAGCTGTTTTAGCTTAATCAGAATCTGTTGATACAGCCAGAACACTGAGCCATATCTCTAAGGGGTTACTAAAAGAATAATGGAGTATTATTTGAGGTTGTTTACCACATCTTTAAAACTGGAGTTACTTCTATATTTGAGGGATAAATGCCTAAAACCTGTATTTTAACGTAACCAGCATTTTTTGTGAGCTGTGATCATACTGCTGCATTCATAAAATTGCTTAAGGGTGTTCTTCTCTTCATGGCTAAACTTCTAGTATACCTCCTAGTGTATTGTGTAGGGGCTATTGAAGTGTTTTCAAGGGTTGTAAAATAGGTGTCAGTCATTTAACGAACATAAGAAACATGCTAAATGCTGTTTTGAAAGTTGTGCTTCAGATGCCCTATTTTGTTTATAAGATTTATATTTAGATACTCAACTTCAGGTGGAATCATATATTGAAATTAAGTAACAAAACTAGATATACAGGTGTCCATATTGTCCAAAGCCACTTATTAAAATAAGATGGTGCTTTAGTCATTTTTTGGAGTGGAAAATTTAGATTTGGATTCAGATTTGCCCCTCTATGAATGAAAGTTCTGCTGTCTGCAGAATAAACTGGGATCCTGCTGAGTCTTCTCACTGGAAGATAAATTTGAGTTAGTGATTATCACCGATTTTTGCTTTCATTCTGCAGTACCTCCAGAATAGTGTGGAAGATGACTGGGAGCTGCAGGCAAAGGAGGAAATCAATGAAAATTGCTGCTCCACTCTGCAGCAGAACAAGTTTGGATCCAACCCATAGTGAATAGCTGGAAATAGTATTTCTTTTGAGTCCCCAGATTGGTGCGCCAAGATGTGTTGGACTGTGACTTCCACCTTCCCCAGTTAGCATGGTCATTGGTCAGGGTGGTGAAGAATGATGGGAGTTGTAGTACAGTGCATTTGGAGGACAACAGGTTGGAGAAGGCTGCTCCATGAGTATGACACTTTCAAGAAGTTGCAGTTGAAGGCAGTATCTGAAGAGCTCTCTTGCCCTTGTTCAGACATATTGCTAAACAGCGATGCAGACAAGAAAACGTGAGCCTCAGGTTTATGTGCGGTCCATTCTCCTTTCTTGCATGGAAGGAGAGAAAGCTTCAGGCTCATGGTTTCAAACAAATTGTGGTTACTTTTACATCAAAATATGGGAAACTGATTTGTTTAAACTATAATTTATTCAATCTGGCTTAATATCATGAATTGAACAAGCTAGCATTTCCAGTTTTGGAATAAATCACAAATGGAAAGTTAAACATCTCCTAGTATGTGAAGAGCAGAGTACATGAGCCCAGGCCTTGTGCCTGCTTGTCCTTTAGCGTCGCATTAATCTTCAGGAAACATTGGGCAAGCCTAAAAAAGCCCTTCGCTTAATTTTCTGGCAGAAGTTTCTTTCTGCATACATGTGCACACAGTCTTCCATGTACATGCAACAAAAAGGCAGGAAGTGGGTGACAGTGGCTGCTTGCAATGCATGATCCGCATCTGCCCTGATGGGCCTGCTGCAGAATGTACCTGGCATGCATTGTGTTCCAAGGCCATTTTCTGTTTGTGTTGTAGAGAACAATATGCTTGAGTTCAAACCTATAACAAGAACAACCTGTGTTTGTTTGGCAAATAGAATATCACTGAGCAGGCAAAGTTAAGGAAAGTGCTAGGTCACGACAATGATTCAAATAGACACTTTCTTCTCCTTGGATTTGCTTTTCTTTTGGACTACTTAGAATAAACTTCTAGTATCTTACAGAATTTGTTATTTGGACAAAAGGCGTTATTGAAAGAATTGAGCTTTTACTGATTAAGATTCATTAAAATACTAATTTTAATTGGAAGCAAAATATGGTAAATAGAAGGTTTACTTAAAAAATTTATATTTTATATTTCAAGTTTGTTGATACAGAAACAAATGCTATATATTGATAAAGCTGCTTTATTATAGGTTATAAAGAAAGCCTTAATTATAAAAGACAACATCAAACATTTAAAACTAAATCAAACTTTTAAGAATGATTAGAAGAATTCAGTGTCTGAAGTAATTCAAGCCATATTTTGGAAAAAAGCATTATGCTATTTTGTTGTAATCAGTTTTCTTTATTGTGCCTCTCCTATAGTAGTCCTGTTCTCATTGGCAGTTTTCTGCTAACATAGATATTTTTTTATATATATATATATAAAGTGAAAAAGACTAGTGTAGGCAAGCAGTTTTTCTTATATGCCAGTGGAAACATAATTTAACATCTGTTGGACAGTAACCTGTGTGTTCCATAGTCTTAGTATTATAATTGTTTGTTGCTGTTTTCCTTGGAACATTTAATGGACAAGAACATGTTGGTTCACTACACAGAAACCACGCAAACCCACTCTTAATTTGTTATGGCTGAAATCATTAGACTTATTGCATAAAAATAAGTCTTTTCACTTGGAAAATAAAGTTCTTTAAATTGGAAATTGAGGAAAGCTGGGTATAGTTATGGAAGTAACCAATTAAGAGTTTTGAATAGCGAAACATAGATGCAGAATGATTTTATATACACAGATGTCTAAACAGTTTTTAAATTAACCTTGTATTTATTTGTAAATGGGAATACAAACTCTAAAATGTTGTAGTATAGGTTCCTTTACCATGGTGCACTCTAGTCTCATGATGTATTAGCAGATTCCATACTTTCCTGTTCATAGGGAGCCATTTACAATTAAGACACATAATTGTGAAAGTGGTCTTTATATTTCCTCATCTACAGCTGTTGTGTATGTTATAGCTCTGCTTTGTGTAGAGATCTGGTACACGCAAAGTCTTCCCTGTTCACATAATGGAGGAAGCAACATAATGGTTCCTTTATTTTGAATGCACAGAGCTGCCTACCTCTAATTGAAATGAATATGAAATCTTGCATTTTATGAGATATATATCAAAGCACCTGTGAAGCTTGGGATTAGAGTGTTTGCATAAAGAGTGCTTACCAGTGTCTGATGTAAACTATGATCAAATTAATAGGTATTCCTTCAGCAAGCAGAAAAATAACCACTGATGGAGGTAAGCACCAATTGACTGTGACTTCAAATTGCAAGGCAGCGTAAATGACACTGATTCTGAAAAGTTGGCTCTAGGCACAAAGGCAGGTTCTGACACTACTGCTTCTGAATTGTTTATGAAATGCTCCTTTTACATGTGTTGTGTGGAAAGTTATGTACAATCTTATCTGATAAGAATTTAAAATGTATAACTTTTATAGCAAAACATTTTCATTCTTGGTATTTTTGGATAATAGAAGTTCCTGTTGCATAGATTCAAATTAAATTTAAGATAATGGTATTATGAGAAGCATAAAATATTTTAATTAACTAGTTTTACAAGCAATGAAATTGTGTATAATCGTGTTTCACATGAAGGCTGTATTTTCAAAATGAAATTATTTTTGCTCTATTCTACAGGAAAACTATGGTTTGCTTATCATACCATTCCATGTGAGATGCTTACATTTTAGGAAGGGACTATTTTGATAGTTTGGCAAGTCAACTCCAGTGTATAGTTATCTGGAAGTAAGTCTCCATGAGCTCAGTAGCACTTACTCCCTGAAGTGTGCAGCAGATTGTAGCTGAACTGAATAGAAATTAAATAGGAATCTGAGTGGTTTGTCAGAGTGCAAGCTGCAGCACAAGTTTTGCAAGAAATGTATTTCAGTATTGTATACTAATTTAGGAGGAAAGAAGGGCAATAACCACTATAGGTTTTGAGACTACGTCATTTTGAAGTGGCTTATATTAGCCCTTTTAAAGACTGCAGTCAGTACAAACTTACTCCTTTCTATCTGTCCATATTAGCTATTTTTTTTAATGGTTTACACTATTTGCAATAACCGTCCCAGCTGAGTGCCTTCTGCTTCAGGTTTGGTACCTTTTAAATGACCTCACATAGCATCTAATGTGGTGTAATAGAATGCTTTAAGGGAGAGTTTGATTATATTGATGTCCCACTGCTTAGGGGGTATTACGCCAATATTTTATATTCTGTTTATCCTAAAAGCAATTCATATAGAAAATTGTCAGTTTATGTGCTCAGCTTCAGCGTTATAGTGAATCATGAACCAGGCATACAAATTTGCAAGCTAATTGCATATTCAGAACTGAACCCTCCCTTGGCCAGATGTGCCCCCGAGGGGTGTTGTCTGGCTTTGCCATTAATCAAGAAGCCAAAAATGATGAGGAGATGTGGCATCTGTAGCACTAGTACTTGGAAGCAGGGCATTTAAAGGTATGGGGATTGGGGTTTTGCCCTATCCCCAAAAAAATTCTTCTCAAGTGGTCCACCTGCAGAATTAGTTGTTGACCACTGATATACAGTCTTCATCCGAAAAGAAAAGAAGCCACCCGAGAACTTAAAACAATCACATGCAGCTATATGTCTTGTTGGTGCTCAAAAGGAATAAATGAATTTGCATTTGTAAATGGATAGAGGGACCCCATCTATCTGACTGTGAACCAGTGCTTAGGTTTTATGTAATGAGATATATGTTGTTATTTTCGCCGTAAGTTTTTATAGCAGAATTCATGGAAAGCAATTTGAATTTTTAAGAGTCTGGCTTGGTGAGGTTAAAGTAGGCAGCAGTGAATTTATAATTCAGACAGAACCAAACATTTAATTGCTTAAAGTGTAATTGTGTCAATTTCAAAGCCTTACATTCAACTTTGTTTTGCCTATTTTGTTTCCATTATTCATGTCGATAAAAAATTGAATTGGAACATAGAATGGGGCACCATTCAACTGTGAAATATTTCATTACATTTTCATGGGCTGTATACTGCACATTTGTAATTGCGAATAATAGTTTTGTTAAGTGGTGAGCTAATGCACATCTAACACTTTCATACTATGAATATTTCTACTAATCTTGGCATAATGACAATTCTGACTAAGTTTTAACATATGAATAGGAAGTCAATTTCTTCTGCCTTTGTTTTGTAAGAACAATTCCTGTATCTTTAGAATTTATCATTGTGTTGCAGAATAATCTTTATATAAAAATCCAGCAACAGGAAAGAGAAATAACGGTGGTGTTGGGAACAAATATACATTTACATTAATTGTCTAAATCACTGTTGACATAAGCTTTTATAACATGCATAAATATTGGCACTGAGTATAAAATATTTCAACTGGCTGAACGTTTGAACTAAAATGTCCAAATACGATGATATTGCACACCTAAATATGAATGAAACCAGAGTGCACGTAAGCACTTTAATACTCTGGGAATTGTACTGGAAAAAGAATGGAAGCATGTGTAATTGCACCTAGAGCTCTGTTAACTGGTGGTTTGGGGTGGGAGGTGGGTGGGTGAGGGAAAGGTCACAGTTTAAATGTATTGTATCTGAATGAATGTACTTAGTCTGGCCTAATTTTCTCTGGCTGAAGAAGTCTGGATTGTGTTTTGCAATGCCCTTTGTTAGTTTTTGTGTGTTTGATTGCAAATGATACTTCTGGGGAGCTTCTTGTTGGACTACAGAAAAAAATCTATTATGCTATATACCAATTATTTTGTAATTTATGTGACAGGTAATTCTAATAGCTGTATATTTGGCTGACTATTAAATTTTTTAAGTTACTTTGATTGCATTAAGTCTTCAATTTTTAAGCAATATTGCTTTGAACATGAGAAGGCATCCCTTGGTTTCCTGGAGAAGATCCAATTAATGCAGTACCACTGCCAGCACCTTCTTAAAGGTGGCACTGAAGTTAAGGAATAGAACTCTTTCCCTAAGGACAAAACTAACCCCCAACACTCATGTGTTTTTAGATGGAATTTGAACAGTTTTTCCAATAGGGCCCAATCTTCAATTTGGGAAGAAACTAGCTGTTGTTTACTTCTGCATGCCTACATATACACACCTGTACGTTCATCTTCTCCAATTTCTACATCCAGCTAGTTGTTATACAATTATGGAACTTGTAAGAAATATTTTTATTGTGCCTATTGCATTGTTAGCCTGCAGATAGGAACACACTCCTTTTAATCTATACACTGTCTAGAAAAATGCTCTCTGATTCTTTTTTAGATGCTTTATCATTCAGTAATGTAAAACATTTATTTCAGTTTGAATATCTGGGTTCTGTGTGGCTCAAATGTGGGGTGCCTTTCTCCTCTCCCACCCATATTATTTTCTGTGCAACTATTTGTCAACAAGATTGATATCCGTGTATTTGTGCAAAGGAGCATTAACTGTTTTATGTACTAGTCAAATGCATGTAAACCAGTGAAGCAAAAGGAAAAGTCTAAGAACAATCAATGAGCGTGCTGACTGGGGATGATGGGAACTGTAAACTGGAGGACATGAGGTCAGGGAAAGCTGCATTAGAACATCTGGAAAAACCCATGTCTTGCAGCCTCTGAGATTTTTCTTTGTATCCACCTTTGACTAAGGTCGCATTGACTTCTTTTGGACACAGTAGCCAGCAGGATAGTTCAGTGTGCACAAAATTGCAGAAGAAATGAATTGAGAAGTTCTGTTCAATGGTCATTTTTAGTGGCAGACTTCATTCACTTTGATTTTGAATGAAAAGAGTGTTTCAGGCTATATTCAGGCAAAAATCTTGGAAGAACCAAGCACCCATGGACTGTGGTAGTACGGAAACAATGTCCCATGAGGAATTGTTAAAAGAGCTGAATATGTTGAGCTTGGATGAGAATGTTTGCTGTTTTCATATGTCTGAATGTCATGCAGACTTGCCTGTCATATTCCAGAAGATAGAGCTAGAGCTAATGGGTGGAAATTGCAAGGAAGCATATTTCAGTTAAACATTAGGGGAACAACGAGTGCTATTTGACAGGAGATAGGCTGACTCCTGAGGTATTTAAGAAGTGGCTGGACAGTCATCTAGAATGTAGCACTTGTAAGCTTCCTGCACTGAGTAGGACTGTGTATCTTCAAGGTCCCTTCCAGCTCTAAAATTGTATCCATCGTATTCAAAATTGTATGACCATATTCAGAAGTAGGAAGTACAGAATCATGGTGCGGCACTTCTCCAAGAAACTGGCAGCAAAGAGAAAGAAAACAAGCTCTTTTGACAATAGTTTTCAGTAAAATATTCTTCATGAAAATTAAAAACCTTTCTATTTCTGTAACTAAAGGAAACTATTGATACCTTGTTGAGGGGAAACACATGCTGCCCCCTATTACTCTTATTGTCACATGTATATGGTTTTCTCCACTGATTTAGTATTTACTTCAAAAATAGACTTAATGTATTCTAGCAATAGAGACTACATCTTGCCATCTCAATTCATCTGCTAGATATTCATCGACAATCCCTTTCAGTCTATTCTATTTTGGTTGTAGTCTGTTTTGATGTTGTTTTGGTCATAGTGCAATAAATTATGACTGCTGCTATAAGGGTGCCATATTTCATGGAGTTTTTGTCTGATTTAGAGTTAGTGCACTCAACTGGTATATTTAGTAGGGCTTGCTTGGTCGTCATTTTTTCTATGAGCTTGTAGTGGTGATATTTGCATCTTGTTTGCCATGAAGAGAAAAATTGAAAAATTCAATAATAGATGGAAAACTGTAGCTTGTATTAGCAAGAACTCAACTGGAAATAGACTGCTGCTGAGTCACATTGAGCTTTAGTATGACAGCATGACATGTAGCTCAGTTTCAAAATTTTAATTCATTTGCTGAGAACACTCTGCACAACAGAAGATTTCCTAATCTTGACAAAGATGCATCTCCGACATATACCCTACACTGGCCTTTCCCAGCCCAGATATGTTGGGCTGCAACTCAACATATCTGAGAGTAGGCAGCCTGAGAGTTGTCATCCAGCACCACAGTTGGGCACCACAGTTTCAGAACTCTGATCTACACATCCTCTATACCTGGAACAAGTTGCCCCTGTTGTCCACCCCAAGACATCACCAGGAATAGGATGGTCCATGGCTCTTACCAGCCCTTTAAATCCCCACCCACAAATGCTTTCACCAACTCTCCTTTACCAGTATCTCACTTGGTAGCAGCAATGTCTGCTGTTGCTGCATGGCTTTTGCCCACAAGTGACGCACACGTTGGTGACTTCCCGACTTGACTTCTGTAACGCGCTCTACGTGGGGCTTCCCTTGAAGACGGTCTGGATACTTCAATTGGTTCAAAATAGAGCTGCCAGGTTGCTTACGGGGACGGGGTGTTATGTTCACATGACTCCAGTCCTCCGTCAGCTTCACTGGCTTCCCATTGAAGTCCGGGCCCAATTCAAGGTGTTGATGATGACCTATAAAGCCCTAAACAGCTTGGGTCCTGGTTACCTGAAGGAGCGCTTACGTCCATATATGCCAGCCCGCCCGCCCGCCGGCCCCTTGAGAGCAGCGGGAGAGGCCCTTCTCCACGAACCTCCATGAAGGAAATTAGGAGGGTAAGTACTTGGAGGAGGGCTTTCTCTGTGGTGGCACCCAATCTATGGAATGCGCTCCCCAGAGAGATCCGCCTGGCGCCGTCGTTATTTTTCGGCGCCAGGCGAAGACCTTTTTATTCAAATGTTATTTTAATTGTTAATATTTATTCATTTTATTCTCTGGCCAGGGCAACTTAATTTATATTGTTAATTTATATTTTATTGAATTTTATTTATTTATGGTTTGTGAGCCGTCCCGAGGCTTCAACGAATGGGGCGGCATAGAAGTCGCCTAAATAAATAAATAAGTGTGGGAAAATGTAAATTTGCAGTGCAACTGTGCTCTGGGCACCCTAGGAAGGGTCTTCCTGAGGGATTCCTGTTAATATGCATATGCCACAAGCTTGGTTTCTGAACTGGAGGATTAAGTTTTGGGTGGGTGAAGGACATATAATGATGGGTCTGAGAGCTGGACAGTGAATAAAATTGGAAGAAAATGGATACCTTTGAAATGCGCTGGAGAATAGCTTTGCAGATACTGTAGACCAGTGATGGTGAACCTATGGCACGTGTGCCCAAAGGGACACACAGGGCCCTCTCTGTTGGCACTTGATCGCCCCAGCAGCCACGCGCAAATTCAGAAAGATTAAGGATGCCAGGCACTAATGAGTAACTCAATAGCCGTGACTCGCCAAGCTTTCATATGGCTGGTCAGTGAGCTGCCAGGGATTTGCATGAACTGTGATTTTAGCGGGATGCAGGTGGCACAGTGGTTTAAATCTCTGTGCTGCTGGGCTGGTTGATTGAAAGGTCACCGGTTTGAGTCTGCACAACCCGTTGTGATTTTAGCAAAAAGTAAGAAAGGTAGGAAATACACTCAAATGCCTTTTTCAGGGCTGGCCAAAAGCTGGTGGTCAGTGGAACGTTGCCCCCTTTGCTGATGGTCAGCAAATTCAGGTTTTATTGCAGTGTTGGCACTTTGCAATAAATAAGTGGGTTCTGAGTTGCAGTTTGGGTACTCGGTCTCTAAAAGGTCACTGCCCTAGACCAGGGGTCAACAACCCGCGTCTCCGGAGCTGCACGTGGCTCTTGAATCCCTCTGCTGCGGCTTCGTCGCTCAAAACATGCATGACAGCTGCCAATCTGCGACCAAGGCTCCGAGTTACAAAATACCAATAGGTGATGATGAGGCATCCACTCAGGAATGCAGCACTAGCGGGTTAAGTAAATTGCGACATTCCTCTGCTATTGTGCAGGGAAAGAGTTGAGCAAGCTTCCTGCAGGCTCTCATGTTACACGAAACCTGCTGAAAAGATTCTCTTTGTTCAAATGTTATCTCCTTCCTCTGAATGATAAAAGCTGTGCTTGGGACCTGTCACAATTCACAGCACTTGACTATTTATCTGCTAACCAGTCACTAAACACACCTATATCTGCGCCCCCGCCCCCCCAGGCCAACCATGGATAAATCGAAGAAAAGTTTCTGAAGAAAACCAAACGTTTAATGGGACGTGGGTAGATTCATTTGCTTTTACTGCAGAAGAACTTATGAGGTTTTGCTGTTTAATGCATTCAGCCCTTTAGCACTGACTTTGACTCTTCAGGAAGCTGTTCTCCTATTCAAAATATATGACAGGAGTCCTGCTAGTTTATAATGTAAGATTAAAAATAACAGTTTTTAGTGACTGAACAAGAGCTGCAGCTAAATCATAACGAAGATATACATAGCCTTAAGGTAAAAAACAATATATGCAGTGTTATCTTCATTTTAGATGTCAAAAGGGTTTTGCGGCTCCCGGTGTTTTCTTTTGTGTGGGAAACGGGTCCAAATGGTTCTTTGAATGTTAAAGGTTGCCGACCCCTGCCCTAGACCAACAGGAAACTGAACAAGTAGACCCTAGATCCAATAAAGCCAAAGCTTTCCCTAGAAGCCAAATGATGAAACTGAAGCTGTCATACTTTGGGAACATTATGGGCAAGGCTCACTGGAGAAGACAGTAATGTTAGGGAAAGTCAAAGTCAGAAGAACAAGAGGAAATATGAGATGGATTGGTTCCATAAATCAAGTCAATGCCTTGAATTTACAAGAGCTGAGTAGGATGGTCTAGGAGAGGACATGGAGGTCATTCCTTCATAGGGTCACTGTAAGTCTGAGACAACTTGATGTCACATACCAACAACAAATAAATGTTTATACCTGTACAATATCTCATTTGTAGATGCA